GACAGGGTTTCTCTGTGGCTTTGGAGCCTGTCCTGGAACTAGCTCTGTAGACCAGGCTGGTCTCGAACTCACAGAGATCCACCTGCCTCTGCCTCCCGAGTGCTGGGATTAAAGGCGTGCGCCACCACTGCCCGGCTATTTTTTAAATTTTTTAAAAATCTTTTTTTAAAACAATTTTTAACAGTTTAGTGTCAGATATTTGTCTGAACACTCCACTTCGTGCAGCTCTAGGAACTTAGAGGATTGGTGGGTTGGTCAGATGGTCAGTCTCTGCGGCATAGAAAAGCTCTCTCCTTTTGTACCACATCTACCAGCGGTTCAGAGCTCCAGCCCAGGCGGCGGTGGTGAAGAGGAAGACAGCCGGCAGGAATCTGAAACTCCAGATCCAAGTGGAGGCTTCCGAGGAACAATGGAAGCAGACCGTGGAATGGAAGGGTTCATCAGTCCCCCGGAGGCCGTAGGCAACAGTTGTGGGACTAGCAGCTCCTGTCCTGGCTGGCTTCGGAAGGTAACAAATACTTCAGAGGATGAGTCTGTAGCAGGAGTCAGTAAGGGTTGCATGGGTCTCTGTTTCTTGTGCCTGCTAATTTAGACAGGAGACGAGGCTTCAGGCTCCCACCTGGAAGAAGGCACCACAAAACTAATCCTGTTTTCATTTCTAAGAAGAAATGATACAGCATTTTTTCACAGGGTTTTGTTTTGTTTTATTTTGTTTTTCTTTTTAAGAAAGGGTCTCAGTTTGTGGCCCCAGGCTGGCCTGGAACTCACAGAGGTCCACCTATCTCTGCTTCCCAAGTGCTGGGATTAAAGGCGTGTTCCACCAGTGGACCCAGCTTCTTTATGCCTGTATTATTAAAGTGAATGTAATAAATTCGTGTAACTTAACTTTTTTATCTTTGTAACCCATCTCAAAGACATTTTTTATTTTTATTCTTTGAAAATTTTGTACATTCTATTTTGGTTATATTTAATTCACTCTTCTCCCCCAACTCTTCCCAGATCCAGTCCCCCTTACTATGAACCCAACTTTGTCCCCTCATTTTTTTCCTAAGCCCATCAGGTATAGTGTGCGCTGCCCATATACTCTTGGAGTGTTGTTAACCTGCAGGAGCTACCCTTCAGGAATTCTGACTCTTCTCTCCCAGCACTAGCAGTTGTGGGAGGTCTTTCACTAGAAACAGGACTTCATTCCCGCCTCCTCTTCATTCCGGGGCTGAGGCTGGGGCTGGGGCTGGATCTGGCTTGCGCTTGCACAGCTGTCACAGCTGCTGTGAGCTTCTGTGTGCAGCCGCCCTGCTGCTGTGTCCGGGGAGTCCTCACAGCCTGTGGCTCTTACAGTCCTTGTCCCTCTTCTTCTGCTGAGCCCTGACCCTGGGAGGAGAGGGTATGGTAGAGATGTCTCATGCTCTGTACAGGACCAGTTGTGTGGGTCTCTGTGTTAATCTATCTACTGCCAAAAGAAGTTTCTCTGATGAAGGTTGAGAGAGATGCTGGTCGGTGAAAAGAAGAGTAAGTCATTAGGAGTCAGTTTAATACTATGTCCATTTAACAAAGTAGTAGTACTTAGTAGGTCCCCCTAGGGCCTATGAGCTATCTATGCCACATTTTTGGTCCCAGTAACAGTGCCAGGTATGGCATTCAACTTGTGGTGCGGGCCTTAAATTCAGTCAGAAAGTTGTTGGTTACTCAAGTGATATCCATGCTGCTGAGCATGTCTTGCCAGGCCAGTTGTTAGTCACAGTTAGGTGGTTCCCTTTCCTCTGCTGGTGTACATAGTAACTTTCAGCAATTTGGAAAGCTCACTGGTAGGGATAAGACTTTCAGGGGAGTGCCAGCTTGGCTTCTCTATGTTCTAGGACTCAACTATGTGACGTCTTCAGCGGTAAAGTCTTTTTTAAATAGTGTGTGGGGAATTGTGTTGGGGAAATGAGTCAGCTACAACTGCTCTTGAACTTGAGTCTGAATTTTTATCACTGAAGAAAGGGTAGCAGTTTGTTTCCAGGTTAGACAATATATGTCGTTAGCCACCACTATTCTGTCCCACTAGAGGGCGCTGATGTCACAACAGAATGAAAGAAAAAGCTACAGGGGACTCGGGAGACCGTAGACTGCTGCAAATACACTGATGAGATTCTTTCTTGCGGACCTAGGAGCTGGAAAATGCAGAGTTCATCCCCATGCCTGACAGCCCAACTCCCCTAAGTAGAGCATTTTCAGAGTCTGAGAAGGACACCCTGCCCTATGAAGAGCTACAAGGACTCAAAGTTGCATCTGAAGTTCCTCCAGAACACCAGCCCCCAATAGGAGCCTGGGTAACTGAGTTTTCTGTCTTTAACCTCAACTAGGTAGATGGTGATTGTGAGTTGTTAGGTTATTCTGCCTTCACCATGTCTTCTGGTTCATTGGGCCACACCACACTGTCTCTTTGGAAGTTCTAAGAGCCACTCTACCTGTTAGCACCAGAGGATTATTTCCCCTCTTCCTCAGAAGTACAAAACTGAACTGTACATTTCCAAATTAGTCTTTTGTTGTAACAGTTTCTTTGTTTCTTTGTGAAACAAATTCTGTAGCCCAGCCAAATTTGGAAGATGACCTTGAACTTCTCTGCCACTGACGCCACCACCTCCTAGGTGATAATACAGGCGTGTGCCACACATCCAGTTAGGCAGTACCGAGTATGCTACCGGGGCTTTGTGCATGCTAAGCAAGTACTCCACGAACAGCCACAATCCTAGCCCCCAGACTCAGTTCTCATGGCACCATGAGAGCGAGTTGAGCCAAATATTAGAAGTAATGCCAGGGCCTGGCATGGTGGCACACACCTTTAATCTCAGCATTCGGGAGGCAGAGGCAGGTAGAGCTCTGTGAGTTTGAGGCCAGCCTGGTCTACAGAGTGAGTTTTAGGACAGCCATAGGTTTTATAAAGAAACCCTGTCTTAAAAAAAAAGGAAGAAAGCCGGGCGATGGTGGCACACGCCTTTAATCCCAGCACTCGGGAGGCAAAGGCAGGCGGATCTCTGAGTGAGTCCAGCCTGGTCTACAAAGTGAGGTCCAGGACAGGCTCCAAAGCCACAGAGAAACCCTGTCTCAAAAAACCAAAAAAAAAAAAAAAAAAAAAGGAAGAAAATAATGCCTGTAGTGTACTGAAGGAGCAGCGCATATATATCCAGCCTGTGTAGAATGCATTGTGGTAACTCAGCAGCTCTAAAGTAGGGCTGTCAGGCTTGAGAAGCCGCATAGTTATCACTTGACTTTGTGAGTTGGATAGTGTGATTGGTGTGTGTGTGTGTAGTTTATAGCACAAATGCAATCACAGGTACAGGGTGAGTATCTTTTATCCACGTGCTTGGGACCCAGAAGGTTTCTAAATCTCATATTTTGCTGGATTTTGGAATTATTGCATATACATAATGAAATATCTTAGGCTATCTAGGACCCCAAGGCTAAACAAATTCCTTTTTTTTTATTTATTTATTTTTGGAGACAGGGTGTGTAGCCCTGGCTGTCTTGGAACTCACTCTGTAAACCTGGCTGGCCTCAAACTCACAGAGATCTGCCTGCCTCTGCCTCTCTAGTGCTGGGATTAAAGGTGTGCACCACCACTGTCCAGCTTGATTTTTTTTAATTGATTTGTTTGATTTTTTTTTTTTTTTTTTGAGGCAGGGTTTCTCTGCAGCCCTGGCTGTCTCTGTAGACCAGACTGGCTTTAAACTCAGATCCTCCTGCATTCTCTCTCTCCTTGTTCACAGCCGCCCCGACTGAATCCTACAGTCCCGTGTGCTGGGAAAGCATTGGCCTCACCCGCCTGTGCGTGCAGCGCGCTGCAAGCAGAGGTCGAGAGGCTGCAGGCTCTGGTGTCAAAGTGTCTGGATGAACAACAGAAGCTACAACAAGAAAACCTCCAGATTTTTACCCAGCTACAAAAGCTGAACAAGAGATTGGAAGGAGGCCAGCAGGTGAGAGCATTCTTGGAGAGTAATCGAATTTCTCAGTCTGCTTTGAAAGTTTACAAACTGTAAGGTACTGAGTCAACTTCGCCTTCTGTGATTCGCTGACTCTTAATGATGTGACTCTTGGGCTTGATTCCAGGAGCCTTGGACCTACCTGGTTCAGGTATCTGGATTTTATCATTTTTAACACCTAACTTAGTTTTCTATTACTAATTGTTTGTTTTTTCTTTTACTTTTATTATGAAAATATCTAAATATATTATAATGAATACCCCTATGCCTACCATATAGGTTCAGTGATTATTAAAATGTCATTCTATTTGGTGTTTATGTGTATTAATAATTACTTTAACCATTTTGTTTGTGTATTATTTTGTGCAACAGTGGAGATTGAACCCAGTGTCTTGCACATAACAATAGGCGAATGATCTACCACTGAGCATGTCCCTAGCCTTGCTGATTAAAGGAGATTCTAAAAATGATGTAGGACTGGGGAAATGGCTCAGCTAAGTAAAGTACTTGTCACATAGACCCGACAATCTCCCAAGCAAGGGTTGTCCTCTTCCCTGCAGAGAGTGGCATGGGCACACTCATGCTCTTTTCTGAAAACTAAGTTAGAATTATGGCTTTATTGAGTTCAGGTTAAATAGTTGGGGAAAACGTTTTGCATTTTCCTGGTATGAGTGAGGAAGAGTCCTTCCTTGGCTTTGTCTTATGTGAGTCTGGACTGGTAACTTTGTCAACAACCTGCTCTATGTAAGTTGTTTAGAAGATGGAGGGAAACAGTGTCTATGAAACACTTCAGAAGGTAATGTCCATTCCTGAGATAAGATTGGCGTGGTAGCAGGCACAGGACTGATGGTGGTGATGGGGGGAGAGGGTTGTTTTTTGTTTTTGTTTTTTTGAGACAGGATCTCACTATATAGCCCTAGCTGGTCTGAAACTCATTATATAGACCAGGGTGACTTCAAACTCATGGAGACAGATCTTCCTGCTTCTGCCTCCTGAGTGCTGGGATTAGAGGTGTGCACTACGACCCCCAGCCATATTATTTTCATACTAATACCCCAACCCCATAGGCCTAAGCAAACCAGAAATAGTTACGCTACCTGCGTAAATGTAAAGATGGAGACTGTTTCCAAGGCAGTGCCACCAGAGCCTTCCACACCTGGCAGCCACTCCTGAGAATTGAAAACACCGTCCTGAAGTACCATGGCCAGTGCTAACTCATTCACTGCTAATGTGAAACTGCTTTGTCTGGACAGGTGGGGTTGCATTCCAAAGGAACTCAGACAGCAAAGGAAGAAATGGAAGTGGATCCGAAGCCTGACTTAGATTCGGATTCCTGGTGCCTCCTTGGAACAGACTCTTGTCGACCCAGCCTCTAGTCTCCTGAACCCACATAGCCCTCAGGAAACTGGGACCCAAAGAACTTCACCGCACACTTACCGAGTGCAGAGAGCAGCTTTCCTGGCTTTGTTCACTTGCAGACACGGAGCGCAGGGCAGAGGGAGGCTCTAAAGCACTTTCCTTGTGCATTTGGAGAGTGGCATTGCCTTTTAGATAGGATCTAGGAGTGATATTATTGTTTCGGAGAATGGAAGGGTCCTGTGGCCCTGGCTTTGTCATCAGTGACTGCCATAGCAACAGCAGCTCTGTACCTCATCTTTTGATCCCACCTTTGAAGAAGAGACACAGCACTCACCTTGTTTGCGCTGGTAGCACCTCATATTCCATTTATCATTTTCATCATTAATTGGAAGTTGCCTTCGGATTTTAACATCAGGCATCGCACCTCTGGGTGAAGGAAGGGAAAATGTAAAATCGGAGTGGGCTGTGGCCAGGCCTGGCCTGCGCAGGGTCCTCCCGAGAATGGTAAAGTTTCCACGTCTTCTCAGAAGCCTGGAGTCCAGGAAAATTTCTTGGCAGAGTCAGTCTAGAGCTTGTGTTCAGGAAGTTGTTGCTTCATGCAGCTGACTGCATTATGGGGAAGCTTAGATTGCGTTCCCTGTGGAGGCTCCTTGAAACATCAGTGAGAAGCAGAGAAAGGGCAGGTCCCTCGTCACACAGCCAAACTTTTAGGCTACGGTTAGTACAAGGTGGGATTTCCCAGCTCTGAAGGACTTCTCCCAGAGAGGAGATGTCTAAGAGAATAACACCAGTGGGATAGATGGAGCTGTGGAGATCAGCAGGGGGGACGGGAACACTTCCCTCAGTGCCTTGCCTCAGTGGCACTAAAGTCTTCTGCCCCTGTGAAGGCTTCTTTGTACTTCTAGTGTAGTGACTTTAGGGGTCTGACTGGGATAAGTAGCCCCAGGCACCCTCTTTCTATGTCTAGTCAGTATTTTTCCTCTTTGGTGTGTTTTGAAGACATATCATACCCAGTAAGTCAGTATCATCTTTCATACTTGAGTGGCCCAAAGCCAGCACCAAATCCTTGGGGTCCCAAAACTTGACAGGTAGAACCTGCCAAGTGAAAGGAAACTGGCTGCAAGCTCACTTCTGCTGTGTTCTTTTTGAGAGGAGCAAGCTACCTTTTCCAAAAACAGGATTGTGTCCTAGAAGAGCCAACCTTCTAGGCAAGCATCTGATGGTTTCCCTTAAATGTGAGCCTTGTGCTTCCACCAAGTCTAATGAATTGCTTGTGTTTGGGGCCACAGCAGCTGCTTTGATAAGTACCACATCCTCCATGCTACATACAGCTAAACTAATATTGTTTCCTTTAACCAAAGCAAAAAGAGAAAAGTTTGCTATCTATTTTAATATTGCAGGAGGACCTACCTGTGCAGAAGAAATTTTTGCCATTTCCCTAAACCAGCGGTATAAAGGCTGGTGCTGGGAGGAAGCCCCATCTCTGGGGGATGGGCAACTCTGCCCGATGGGATCATTGATGTCCCATTGTTTTCTCAATTCTGAGAAGCCTAGTACAATAGTACTGATGTAATCACTGAAGCCTTTTCCCAGAATAAGGGAAGGCCCGATCCTGACATAAGGTCACAAGTTCTAGGGGTCTGGCCGTTGGCTGTAATCCCTGTCAGAGAGTTTTGGTTCATCATGTCAATGCAACTTTGGTTTTCTTCAGGACTGGCTGGCCTTTCAAGGTCCTGTATCCTTACGCTTACCATCTCAGCAGGCCTGAGAGGCGGGGCTTAAGTCTTCATTCTGAGCATTGCTTTTGCTTGGGAACTGAGGGCCGTGGGCATGTCACTGACTGTGGGGTGAGAGTGAGTGTTGAGGTGGGCAGGAGCCCTGGAGAGTCATTCTCTAGCAGAGCATGGCGGTGTTTTCTCTAGTGTGTTCCCATGGGAAGTCTAGGTTTGCCATTAATCCAGTTGAGAAGCTCAGTTCTGTGCCTTAGAGATAATTTGCACTTTTCAGAATTGTGCCTAGGACAGCCGTGAGATTGTTTCCTCCACCAAACAGCTATGCAAGCAGAACAGTGAGACGTGGCAGCCATGCACTGAGTTGAGCAAAATACAAGGCAGCAGAAAAGGATTCAAATGGTTTTCTGTAGCTAAATCTTGGTGAATTGCCCTGCTTGTCCTCTATGCAGTGCTAGGTGTTTGGAGCTTTCCCGTAGCGTTGCTTTGAGTTACAGTATAGCCTGCGTTAATCCTCTGTGCCAACACTTTGCTGAAAAGCCAGCTTATTGTTAGCCAGATGCTGGAAAGGGTGAGGGTGGTGGAGTGGTGTGGCATTTCTGTTTAAATAAACATTTAAACTCTCAGCTGACGCTGTGCTTCAGTAAACCTGTGCACCACCTCAGTCACTGGAGACAAAACACCAAGGTTCTAGGCCATGGGAAATCTCTGATTCTGTGAGTCTACTATAAATAAATAGTAGTAATGAAAAAATGGTCTTTTAACAGAAACAATGTTAGACATTACACAGAAACAACCTCTGCTGTTTTCCAGTCTCATTCTTGCCAGAAAAAAAATCATTTGTACTGCAATAGTTTTTTTTTTTCCTAACAAAGTTTGTAAAGATTCAGAAAGCCCAGAGGGGGGAAAGGAGACATTAAAAGAAGGGTCCCGGGCTAGCAGGGTAGCTCAGCAGGTCAGAGTGGCTTGCTGGGCAGGCCTGGTGACCTGAGTTCATCCTACCGAATCACAGCACTGCCTCTGACCTCACACACTGGCGTGTGTGTGCCTGCAGTCGTACACACCATGTGTGCACAGTGATAAGAGGCATCAGGTTTCTTTTACACACCTCCTTGGTCCTGATGAGAGACCGTTCCCAGTGATCCTGCCAGTTTGTTGCTAAGACTTCCTCAAGACAGCTGAGTTGTATTTGGTATCCTTGGTGTAACAGCTGCTCCTTTTCTTGGCTGAGCGCTGCACTGCAGTTTAAAGCAAAAGGCTCAAATTTCATTTGGTTTGTTATCTGTTCAGAAACATTCATGATAGGAAGAGCAGCCCAGAGGAAAACATGTATTTTACAGAAAGTCCTTCACATGAGGTCCCCAGGCCTCAAAGGAAGTATCAGTCATGATAGCAGGAGGTGCAGTGGGCTGTAGTCAAGACTGAGATTCCCTGCAAGGCCAGAAGTCATTTATTGTCGCAGTGATTAACTGCCGACATAAATGTGCTGATCACTAAACCTCACAGGTCATGGGCCTCGGGGAGGAAAATCTGTGTCACAGCTTTGCTTGCCAGTCTGTGTAGTCTTGAAGGGCGATCTGATGTTGACAAGCTTTGTGAACTAGGAAAGCTCAGCATGTCTGTACACACTTCTAAATAAAAAGAGCTACCTTGTGAGTTTCACCACGAGAATTTCCCATAGCTTTTTGAACTTTAAAATGTATGATGTTTATGACATGTGCTTAAAGTAACAACATACGGACTTGACAAGCAGCATCTATGTGACCTCTACTGAGGAAGAGACTCGAGGTTGTAAAACAGCTCTGACCTCCCCCGAGCTAGCTGAATTCAAAAGACTGGCAAAAGCTGAGGTCAAAGGGAACACAAAGACAAGGGCTCTTGTTTTCTTTCTTTGGCAACTCAAGAATGAATAACTGCTTGTGTCTATAGTAAGACCTGCACACAGTTGTTTCCCCTTGAGGGCTCTAAACTGTGACCCTAATAACATTGTGGGATCCCAAATCCATATGTCTAAGAGGCCCAGCAGATGAAGGAAGAGAATCTGGCTTTACTTGCTATCATTCCCAACTGAAGGAGTGGCAGATTGTGAACCCCTTCCAGTGTGTCCTGTGTAGGTTACGGCCCCGTGTTTCTACAGCCTCCAGTGTGTCAAGACATGCTCCTATACCAAGTTTTTAAAAGTTAAATTTTTTTGAATGCTTCATGACAAAGTATCTGGGGCCGGGCAAGGTGATGCATGCCTTTAATCCCAGCACTCGGGAGGCAGAGGCAGGCGGATCTCCATGAGTTCGAGGGCAGCTTGGTCTGCAGAGCTAGTTCCAGGACAGCTAGGGCTACACAGAGAAACCTTGTCTCGAAAAAACATATGAACAATAAAGCATCTGGGGTGGAGTGGGGTGGGGGCTGGAGAGATGGTTCTGAGGTTAAGAACCTTTAGTCCCAGCACTCAGGAAGCAGAGGTGGTGGATCTCTGTCAGTTCAAGGCCAGTCTGGTCTATAGGGTGAGTTTCAGGACCACCAAGCTACACAAGAAACCCTGTGTCAAAACAAAGAAACAAAGAACCTGGGTTCCTAGCATGTACATGGTGGCTCACGACCATCTGTAACTCCAGTTCCAGGGGATCCAACACTTCTGATTTCTGCAGGTACCGGTGTGCAGTCAAAACACTCATAAGATAATCTTTAAAAATTGTGAACATCCATGGGGATACAACATTGTGACTTCTTTAGCCACAGCTGCTTATCTGTAACCTTTAACCTGATGTAAGGAACTGTGTACTCCTCAATAAACTTGCCGGGGCTGGAGGCATGTCAGGCTAAATATCCAGCATTTGTAAGAGCTTCAGCGCCCATCTTTCTAAGCTCCCCAAACCCCCTAGTTGAGGGTCTAACTTGAAGTGAGCAGTGTTCTCACTGTTAAGAAGACCTGATCCCTTTCAGTGTTTAAGATAGAAGTCTGACTACGCTCTGATCACAGGGCCATGAAAATGAACATTGTCTATGCTTGCTTAGACTGGCTCTGCTGTCTCAAGGTACCCAGACAGTATTGTTTGAAAGGGTCCTAGGGGCTTCTTTCTTTTACATATGAGATGCGTTTAAAAAGAACAAGTTCAGAGAAGTAAAACTGTTTTCTATTCATCCCTACCCTGTAAAGTGCAAAAAGATGTTTCATTATACAGCACACCACGGGGAAGGTTAGGGATACACTGGTCCCCTAATGGTACATACTTTTGTTGGCTATCAGCCAGAACCACGGGCCATGGAGGCCAAGGATAGATTTCCATCAATAATGCCTGACGGCACAAACTTCTATCTTTTATAAGAGTTACCATCTGTATGGCAATGACCCTCTGACCTCACTCCTCTTTATTATCCCTACTTTGAAAAGCAAGAAGGGCTAACAGAAACCCTGGACATGTGCCACGGTCAGAAAACACAACTGAATGCAGGCACTTCAGTACAAACCATGGTCGGGCTCAGGAGAAGAGCGCTTTAATGCGGCCTCACTACCCAGTGTCCTCTCTCTCACACACACCCTCCCCAGTCCTTCAGACAAGAACATAAACACACAGCCAGGGTTATGATCCAGTGAGAAGCTGGGCTTCCACCCGCCTCCTGCCAGGTAGCTAGAGGGCTCTCCTCCGGGGTGGTTTGGCTCAGCAGGTGGAGCTGAGTTCTGCAAAGGTTCCACTTCTCCCTGCTTTCGGCCACTCATGCTCTGGTTTACTGCTGAAGGGAAGCTCAGCCTCCTCAACTAAGCAAGGCGGGTTCTGCCATTTTCTGCTCAGCTGTCGTGCCTCCTCGGGGGTGGGGGGCGGTTCTTGATGGTCTTACACTTGGGTATGTGTCGTTCAGCCACCTTGGGAGCAAAGTGGCGGCTGCAGTGGGGACACTGGACATAGTCTGGGTTTTCCGCAGGCAGGATGGGGGGCAAGTCTGAGGGATTCCCACCTCTGGCGATGACCTGCTGGACCTGCCGAGCATGACGGAGGGTGCGGATAAAAGACTCGTGCTTCTGCCTCCAGGTGCTCTTCCGGGGAGGCTCAGTCTGTAACGGGAAAGGGACAGTGAGCCTCCAGCTGCCTTGGATCTCTCCCCTCTCGGGCTCCCTGACAGCAATAAGGGTGTGAAAAGGTCCTCAACATCAAAGAAACACAAAGGAGGAAGAGTGACGACTGACCTGCCAGCCCAAGAGCCTCCAAGGAGTGGTCCTACCTGCAGGCCAGGCATCTTCCTGCCAGGTCCCCTGAGGGAGCTGGCTCAGGTAGAAAGTAGGAAGGTGTGGAGAAGAAAACAAGCTGAAGCCGGGCGATGGTGGCGCACGCCTTTAATCCCAGCACTCGGGAGGCAGAGGCAGGCGGATCTCTGTGAGTTTGAGACCAGCCTGGTCTACAGAGCTAGTTCCAGGACAGGCTCCAAAGCCACAGAGAAACCCTGTCTCGAAAAACCAAAAAGAAAACAAGCTGAACTTAGAACTCCTCTCCTACCCTGTGTACCTACGTGCCAGCACCCCTGCTAACCTCCCGGGAGAAGAGAGACTTGTTCTCTGGAAAAACTGAATTAGATAGGTTTTAAAGATTTATTTGCTTGTTTTTATTTTATTTGCATTAGTGTTTTGCCTGCATGAGAGTATTGGATCCCCTGGAACTGGAGTTATATAGACAGTTGTGAGTTGTCATGGGGGTACTGGGAATTGAACCTGAGTCCTTTGGAAGAGTAATTGATGTTCTTAACCACTGAGCCATCTTTCCAGCTCCTTAAAGATTTTTTTTAAATCTCTGATTTGTGTCTTTCTGTGTGTGTGTACCATATGTGTATAAATGCCCATGAATGAAGGTCTGGAGAGGGTGTTAGATCTCTTGGAGTTACAGGTGGTTGTGAGCTACCAGACGTGGGGTTTGGAAATTGAACTCAGAGCCTCTGGAAAAGCATTAAGCACCATTAACTGCTGAGATAGCTCTCCAACTCCTAGATAGGTTTCAGTTCAGAAAATCCAGCCAGGATAAGGAACAGGGTTCCTTTCAGTGCTGGTGGTGGAGAAGCCTAAGCAAGAGCAGCAGCTACGGAACTGTCAAACTGCTTTAAGAGCTGCTCCCAGAGCACCAGTAACTAGCATCCTCTTGGGAGGACAGTAGTTCTATGGATCTACCCAGTAGCAAGAAATGAACCTTCCAACACTGGCTTTGGGGGTCACCATTACAGGGCTCACTGATAACTATGAAGTCCTTTAGATTATAAATCCACTAAGCTTAAATGAACAGCAGCGTGTGCACGCTTTTAATCCCAGCACTCAGGAGGCAGAGACAGGTTGATCTCTGAGCTTCAGGCCAGCCAGGGTTACAGAGTGAGGCAATGTCTCCAAAACAAAGTTCTGATAAAATCATTTCCTGCCTAGATTTCTACTCCCATCCAAATCATCAAATAGGAAGCGTTTATGTAGATATTTTCTTTAAGTCCATGAATAAGGATATACCATCTATGCATATCTCTTGGTAAATTTCAGCAAAACAATGAACAGGAAAACAAGAAAAAGACAGGACCAACACAGAAGAGAAGCAGAGGGAAGTTCCAAAGCCAAAGAATGGCCGGGCCAGATAGAGCAGGAGGGGTTTCCAGAATGGGGGGGAGGCACCTCAAACTGATTTGTCATAAAAAGGTGTCTGGACACTTAGAAAAAGACAGTAACAAATTCCTAGCATCCAGAAGGTTAGTTAGGGAAGGTTTTAAGTATAGACTAATTGTAATTGTAAGTACAGGGTGATTGAAGGAGAGGGAAAGTTAGTCAGTGATTAACCCCAAGTCCACGTGGGCAAGAGCGGAATTTGCTCCGATATCAGTGAAGGTCGTGTAAAGTCCCACTGTTTTAAATCAGAACCACGGCCAACTAGAGTGGAAAGGGGAAATAGTGGAGAAGGCAAGGGGGAGAGGGACTGAGACAGAGCTTCGCCTGTGAGGATAAGCAGCCATCAGAGGACACGAAGGGTTGGCAAATCAAGAAAATAAGTGTATTATTTAGAATCCTGGAAACGCATGCCAGAAGACATATTTCACAACTGAGACTCAAGAAGGAGCCTAAAAAGGATGAAATAAGAATGCATTATAGATCATTTAATACCACACGGTGTCTAAGATGTGTAAAATTAACTATTTAAAATAAAGATAGGCCCAGCAAGATGTCGCAGTGGGTGAGGGTGCCTGTCATCAAGCCCAATGACCTGAGTTTAATCCCCAAGACCCACATCGGGGAAGAAGAGAACCAACTCCCACAGTCCTCTAATTTCAACATGCATGCACACTCACATACACAAAATAAATATTAAATTTTTGTTTTGGCTTTTTGAGACAAGGCTTCTCTGTCTGTGTAACCATCCTAGTTGTCCTGGAACTAGCTCTTGTAGACCAGGCTGGCCTCAAACTCACAGAGATCCACCTGCCTCTGCCTCCTGAGTGCTGGGATTAAAGGCGTGCGCCACCACAGCCTGGCTGTAAATATTAATCTTTAAGAGAATGAAAAAGACAAATACCTCTTAGTAATAGGTAATAACAAGAATGCTATAATAGGACAAAGTATGCTCTATCAGGTATATCTTACTGAGACAAAAGACAAAGGGACTGGCATTAAAATATGGCCCCCAAGAACCTTAAAAGAATTCAGCCAGAATTCTAGGGGATACAGTAGCTGTGTTTTCATTCTGTGTCGTACTGAGATGTTCCTTACCACATTAAGCACAAAGTCGTGTGTGGGTTCCTGCCTCACGTGCTGACAGCTGGTAGACATGGTGTGTGTCTGCTGGACGTCGTGTGAATAGGAAGTGACTTAGAAAAAGCCAAACTGCAGAGTATGTGGGAAAAGCAGCAAGGAGCTGCAGCCACTAGCTCAAAGATGGTACAGAGCTCTGGAGTGAGACTTGAGGCACTCCCCGGGTAGCTGAAGTCCTTTCTGCCTTGTGTCCCTGTGCAGCTCATGACCTCAACCCAGTCTTCTCAGAACTGGGCTGTGTGGTTTAGCTTTAGTGCTACGATATTTAGGAACTTAAGAAGTACAAGGTTCTTTTCGATGATGGCCCCAACTAAGTTATGGTAGGCCATAGGGAATCCCCAGTGAATTACCAGGCCGACCAAAGAGGAAAGAATAGTAACTGGCCATCCTGTCATTATCTGTCTGCAAAATGCTGACTTCTTGTTGGAAGCTGGATTTTAGGAACATTATCTCTAAACATGCGGGAGACATTCTTGTGGCGATCTCTCAAATTGTACTGAGCGAAAACACTATAATTCCTAAGTTATCTTCGAACATCCATCACACCAGTGGGTGTTTTTAAAGGCTCCAGCGAGAGGACATTTAAACTGGGAAGTCCTGAAAAGAGGGAACTGGGAACCGGATGCGGTGATCCGCATCTCTAGTCCCAGCACTTGGAAAGCAGACAGGTGAGTTCAGTTCGAGGCCAGCCTGGTCTACATAGTGAGTTCTAGGCCAGCCTGGTCTACATCGTGAGTTCTAGGCCAGCCTGCAAGGAGGGGGAGGGAGAAGTGGGAAGGGGAGAAGAGGGAGAGCCCATGAGGGCTCACATGCTTTGGGAAGAAATGAAACCAAAATATGTTCTATTTTTTTCCCCATACTGTTACATGGGGGCCTTTGAGATCACCTATGGGTTTTTTTTTTTTTTTCTGAGACAAGGTTTCTCTGTAGCTTCGAAGTATGTCCTGGAACTAGCTTTTGTAGACTAGGCTGGCCTCAAACTCACAGAGATCCGCCTGCCTCTGCCTCCTGAGTGCTGGGATTAAAGGTGCCACCACCGCCCGGCTCTAATGTGGGTTTTTCCCAACCCTGTTCATCTTATTATTTAATATTTTTTTAAACTCATGACCCCACAGAAATGACAGACTGAATATGATTTTCTACAATAAACACTCTGGAGAAGCTTATTTTACAGACCAAATGGCATACTCTCAAAGACTGGCTATGGGGCAATGGTCTCCAGGTGGGTCTAAATCAGCCCACAAAGTCCTGAGCCATATCAGTTAGATGTCGTGAATTTCTAACGGTTCCCATTTGGGTTTTTCTAAAGTGAGGGATGTTTTGGAGAGCTAGCTAGAAAAGAAAAAGAAAAAGAGTCCTCAAACAAGTACTTTATCCTTGTGGTGTTAATACCCTAACTGGAGAGGGGGATCCAAACTTGCATGTGTTTCTGAAATTTACTAAGAATACATCAAAACTGAGCTCACTTTTAAAGAGTAGGTACAGCTGAGCATGGTGACAAATGAGAGAAGGCAAGGAATTCTCGTAAGTCAGAAAAGTGTCTTGGGTTTGTTTTAACCCAAATTGCAAGTTTTTAAAATTTTGTTTTTATGAGTTATTTTTTTCCCTGCAGCAAACATGAATTCGTTTTTACAATAATCAAAAGGACATTATATTTTAAAATCTAGATTTTTGGAGTCAATTCTAGTAAGATTTAAATCTAATAAGATCAAGAGCAGGGGCTATTGATCAGCAATAGACTGTTTATCTAGTAGTACAGGTCCTGGAGGCTAACACTAAAAGATAAAAATCTACTTAAACTGTCCAAGCTTTGTGTGTGTGTGTGTGTGTGTGTGTGTGTGTGTGTGTGTGTTGAGGGGGTAGGTCTGATGTGTGTGTGTTTAGATGTCTGAGCCTTGTGTGTGTGTGTGTGTGCACATGCATGTGTGTGTGTTTAGATGTCTGAGCCTTGAATTTTGAATGGATACAATGACAGACAATAAGATTCTTACAGAATTGTGAGGCTTGTAGAGAAAGCTCTGATCACAGAGATTAGCAAAGGGAAGTTGTGATTCTCCCCTCCACTCTACACTGTCCCAGTTCCCAACGGGAACTAGCGAGGACGCAGCAGGCCATTACACGCACCCCCATACAGAGTCAAACCTAGGAGGCTCTTATTACCTTGGCGGCAGTGGTTGGCCCCTTCCAGTTCAAGTACTGCTCTAGCTCTGTGCCCTTAGCCCGGGCCCTGGAGGAGTCGAATACTTTCCTCTTGGACCCTTGCATCCTCCCACAGACGGTGGAGTGTCTCTGCAGCCTGAGAGAAAGAAACGAGCGTCCACAGTGGCTGCACTTGCCCAGCTCTGGTTCTTCTGTGGAGGAACCGGACCCCAAGGAGCTTGGTGATGCCGACGGGCTTGATGCCTGCAATGCGCTGCCCAGCTCTTCTGAAGGTTTCAGAAATTCGTCTGCGGGAGGCCCTGAGTCTCGGACTTTGTTGTTGCTTGCCGTCAGCCTCTCCCTTTTGAGCCTCTGGATTTCATAATCAGAGAACTGGAGTGGGCTAGAGGTTTTCTGAGCCCAATCACAAGGTTGACCCTCTCCCCTGTCTCTACTGAATTCCTCGGAACTGAACTCGGGAGATAAGCTGGGTGTCTGTGTGGCGTTGCTGTTACCGTCCCTAACTCTCCCTGCAGATAGGGTCGTTCTTAGTAGCTCTCTGTCTTCATGCTCCTGGGCCCGTTTCTTTTCCTTCTGAATCCTTCGGAGACCCTCCTCTGTCTTCTTCAGCTTCTCTCTCAGGAGGCTCTCTTTTCTGCGGATTTCCATCTCTAGCGTCTCACCTGCCGCTTCTAGTCTTCGGATCTGTGTCCACTCGGTCCTATGGAGGTCAGCCATGACCTTCTCTGCCTGCACAGAGGCAAAAAGAGACGAATTCAACCAGCTCCTCAAACCAAAGTTGCTGCCTGAAAGCTCATTCGAGTTAGGGAGTCTTGGATAGGCATTCTGGTCCTCATCGGTGCCTACCTCACCTGTACTATGAGACTTCCGGTGGGCCATGGGTTTCAGTGGGTATGCCCGATCTACTCCAACTCGTTTCTTCCTAAAGGGAATGAAGTCTTGGTCATTTGCTTTGGGATACCGGGGTTGAGGGTTTGACAAGGAAAACAAGCCCTTTCCTTGGCCCTGGGGATTGCTTGCTGAGCTCTGCTGGCTGATCCTGGCACTCTGGGGACACGAGTGCCTCCGGGTTTTTGTGCACATGTTCCCTTTGGGGTGAGTGGAGACACCCTCCTCCGGCTCAGGCTCTGTGTTCCTCCAAAACTTCTGCTGGAAATCGTTCCTCAAGTGTCCCATCGAGGACCGCTGGGAAGAGTCACCTGGTTCATAAGGGTCCTGCTTAGCTGAGTGGAGCCCTGGCACTTCTGTTTTATTATGTGGGAACATAACGCCCACAGGCAGATGTGGAGCCAACTGGAGACCAGCCATTCAGGGCCTGGACCGAAGCCTAGGGGAAGATTTAAAACAGATACATGGGAAGAATTAGTCTGAGCTTCACTCCCCGCTGCTAGGCTGCTAGAGTAAACTGTTCGTACATTTGCCCTGCCCACATTCCCTTTAAACGTAGTGCGGAATCGGCCAGGACCTTCCTTCAGTAAGCATTTATTTAGTGAGTGACGATTATGTGCCAGACATTGTTAAGCCCCGAGGACCAAATCATGAACGGGACACAGGTGTTCTGCCGCTGGCTTTCCTCCACACCCGTGTCCGATCTGCCGTACATTACTGTGGAATGGGTGGAAAGAGCCTTAGATCGAAGGTCATCTGTGACCAAAACAAAACAAAACAAAACACCAAAACAAAAACCAGGCAACCTGCTCTTACTAGCCCCGGTTCTTGTAAACTGCAGAGTCTGCTCCGAGTCCGGCCCCACATTTTTACAGGGTGAGAACAGTGGCCTGGCGACGGGGCCTGGCACCGAGCTCTCCCTGGGCTTTCCAAACCCTGCTAGGAACTACAAAGAGCACCGGGCGCCCCGGCTTGAAGCAGGTGCTTGGCTGTCAAACCCTCATCCAAAGATGCTCTACGGCCCAAACCGCACCAGGTACCAGTGTGTAGGGGCGCGGGGCGTGACTCCTCACCGCCCCAGTCCGCTTTAGATCCGGAACTCGAAAGTTATGCTCTGTCCCAGAGGGTCAAATGGTAACCCTCGCGGGGATTCGGCCTCTAGAGACAAACTCTCACTCTCCGGTCCCTTGGGAGGTGGTGGTAATGATTCCGTGTCTCTCCTCCTTTTCGCATACCTGAGGCGCTTGGGGGCCACTCCTGCCGAGAGAAAAATCCCCAAGACCCACTTTTTCCACACCTGACTAAACCCAACTGCCGTTCGCGCAGGCGCTCTTGTCCACCTCTGTTATTCCCGTTGCCTGGAGACCAGAGCGCCGCCTCTGGTTGCGACCTTCCAATCCCAGACCAGCGCAGGCGCAGTCCACAAGCGGTCGGGCGCTGCCCCGAAGATGGGTTTGGGGTGGAGGAAGGTGGGTTAAGAGTGCCGGCGGGTCACCTGACGCAGGGTGCAGCCAACTCTGCAGCTCAGATCAGCGCTGCCCTTGGGGCGAGGGGAGGAGAGGCTTTTCTGGGGCTACGTCAAAGAAGAACTTGCATTCCTTGAGAACGATGCTCCCAGACCTTAGGGAGAAGGGTGGAGCCCCTAGATGGGCTGCGGAGTCACCCTGCCACAAGATTCGGGGATCCGCCCGGCTAGCGGGAGTGGGACTGCTGATTGCCCTCCTGAGCGCACTTGGCTGCTGCTCCCAGGCCCCAGGTAGGGCTGCAAAGCTCCAGGCTATATGCTCCTGGGCTGTTCTCCCCTTGCAATGCTTTGGCGCTTGCGATCAGATTTACTTTTATTTTGTTACGTGTTATCGTCCCAGGGTAGTTTCTAAGGCCAATCTAATTATGTTACTATCATAATGTTTTACTCTTACGAGGTAAATCTGACCGTTTCTACTTTGGGCCCCGGAATGACTCAGCCAAAAGTAATGATAATAAAGTTAAGTACCAGATCGACAATAATGAGCGTAGCTTGATTTCAACAGTAAATGATCCCCTGTAACTTTTCAACATCAGAAGAGGGTTTATTTGTCTTCTTCGTGCTTCAGTTCATTTGGATAAGCTTTTTGGAACAGACAGCTCAGTTTTTTCCTGTAACTAAGCAGAAGATTCGTGCACGTGGGAAATAAAGTGGACAGCAGTCCCGTTAATCCTTCAACATATCAGATGTCAGCTTTTCTGTGCTACAAAGAAATTCCTTTTTGGGCTCTCTAGGGCAGATTGTCGGTCGTTGTTTTCATTCCCAGTTGTCCCTTTTGCCTCTCCACACTGCAGCCTTTTCCCAGTGACTCGGGCCCAGGGAAATTTCAGCTTCCCCCTGCTTAAAGTCTCCTTCTATGGCTTTTCCCTATGCATCCATCCCTTTTAACTACTTTCAGGACCCTCCGTGTTAATCTCTGGTTTTAAAACATGCATGACTTCTTCGTGCAAAAAAGTTTCACGTTGCTGGACCCGCCTCCTACTTGTTTCTCTTCTTCTTCTGTTTTGTTTTGTTTGTGTTTGTTTTGAGACAGGCTTCCTGTTCAGCCCCCTGGCCCTCCTGCCTAAGTAATCAGCTTGCCTCAGATTCCCCCAGGCTGGGATATAGGCCTGCGCACACACACACACACACACACACACACACACTTTTCCTTCTCTCTCCTCCTTGTCCAGGCCCCTGCGGTCTGACTTCTGCTCGTCTGTTAACTGCACAGCTATTCATGTCCTTCCCACGAGTAAAGGCAAGAAGGCAAGCTTCTATTTTCTGCAGCCTATTTGCTGGACGGTGTTGATCATTCATTGCCTTAAAACTCAATTCCCTATAGTGAGATTTCATTTATGTCTTCTAAATAAAGCTGCCTGAAGACTAGAAGGTAAAACTAAACCACTAGAAGACAGGCTGTGGTGGCCCACACCTTTAATCCCAGGATTTGGAAGACAGAAGCAGATGGATCCCTGTGAGTTCAAGGCCGACCTGGACTACACAAGACCAATTCAGAAATAGATTCTGATAGTGGTGGCTCACACCTTTAACCCTGGTACTAGAGAGGAATATAAACCAGGATGAGACAGGAACTCTTTCTCTTTAGTCTGAGGATTTCTTAGAGATAGAGCTCTCTCGTGGCCAGCTGCTTTGCTTTTCTGATCTTCAGGTTGAACCCCGCTCTCTGTCTCTGTTTTATTGTTCATGCTCTCCTCACTACACCTGTGTCCTCTTGCTCTCTTCCTTCTCAGCCTTGCTCCATCTACTTCTCTTTAAGGTTTCACTTTCCCCCTTATTGGCCTCCTAAGTTTGGATGTTCTCCCAAGCACTCTTATTTTCCTTGTATATGCAGTTAGAGGCATTCTCTTCCTTATCTCTACCAGATGCTGAAATCTGGAATTTTGTCTATGTTTATTTTAACATATTCCTTGGGGAGCTGGGGAGATGGTTCGGTGGTTAAGAGCACTGGCAGCTCTTCCAAAGGACCCGGATTCAATTCCCAGCACCTACATGGTAGTTCACAACTGTCTGTGACTCCAGTTTCTGGGGATCCAACACCATCATACAGTCATATATGCAGAAAAACACCAATGCAAAAGAAATAAAAATAAATGTTTTAAAAAATATCCCCTGCTTAGTGATAATCTTCTCAGTTATAAATTTCTAACTACTCACCTGTCACCTTCTCATGACAGCTCCCCAGGAGCCCCAATCCGTGGGACAGAACACTGGTGATCTCCATATTCTCTGTCTGCTGTTTCTCTATTTCATGTCCTCTCCCTCCCTCAAAGCATACACCATCTTCCTAGCTCTCTCCTGCCATCTCTTCCAACTGACCTACAAATTCTACTGCGTTTACAGCTGCAGTTTTTTTAAAGATTTATTTATTTATTATGTATACAACGTTCTGCCTCCATGTATGCCCACATTCCAGGAGAGGGCACCAGATCTCATTATAGATGACTGTGAGCCACTATGTGGTTGCTGGGAATTGAACTCAGGACCTCTGGAAGAGCAGCCAGTGCTCTTAACCACCGAGCCATCTCTCCAACCCTACAGCTGCAGTTTTTTTCTTATAATGAGCTGTATCCTCCCATGTTCTGCCTGTGTTTCTTGTGGGGATGGATGGCTTTACCCTCTTCACCATTAGTATCTGCCTCCCAAATCTGTCATTGTTGTTTTCCAAATGAGGATTCTAAAACCTTCTTTCCTAGCTTTCTTGAGATATTAACAGGGCTTATCAATCAGTGGTAGAAGGTATACTTAGAATGCACAGGATCTAGATTCCATTCCCAAGTAACAAAAACACGCGTGAACACACACGCGTGAGCATGCGCGTGCATACACACACAGAGTGGGGAAGGGAAGGAGGGAGAGCGAGATTACAAATAAAAAGTGTAGTACTTTGGAAACGTACACTAAAAATTGATACTGAGCTTAGCACAGATCCTGCTCAAGAATGAAACACAAACTAGGCAGTGGTGATACACGCCTTTAATCCCAGCACTTGGGAGGTAGAGGCAGGCGGATCTCAGTGAGTTCGAGGCCAGCCTAGTCTACAAAGCGAATTCTAGGACAGCCAGGACTGTAACACACAGATATCCTGTCTCGGAAAAAAAAAAAAAAAGCAAAACAGAAACGAAACGAAAAGCAGCAGCACAAATTCACAAAGCAGGTCTTTTAAAACTTGTACAGATTGTGGTTGTGGAGATCGCTTAGTCAAGACCTGACTCAGTTGCCAGAACCCACATTTTAAAAAGTCAGACTTGGTGGCACAGATTTGCTTCTGAGAATGCAAAGACAGGTGACTCCTGGACTCCCTGCCAGTCAGTCTAGCCTACTCAGCAAGTTCTAGGACATTGAGAGACGCTGCTGTAAGAAAAAAAGGGGTAGTACCTGGAGAACGACACTTCCAGGTTGTCCTTTGGCTTCCACATGCGTGTCCACATACACACATAAACAATAGGAAGATATGCAAATCATATATACATACTTATATATGTGTAATAATGTAAAATGTGAGTTTTGATACAAGTATACATTGTAAAATGATTCAATTTAACTAAGTAATAAATCATTCTGCCTTCTGATCCTATAGTTTCTCTTCCATAGTGATTCTTTTTTTTTTTTTTTCTTTATTTGGGTTTTTGAGACATGGTTTATCAGTGTAGTTTGGCTGTCCTGGAACTCACCTTGTAGAGCAGGCTGGCCTCAAACCATTTTCTATCTCCCCCCACATTAGATGTAGAATATCCCTGTAGTCCTGTCTCCCTTTAATAACCTGAGGCAATCCCAGGAGCTCTCAACCATGGCTGTGCAGTGGGAAGCAATGGGAATAAAATGTGGGCGTATATATTCAGAAGGCTCCCCAGAGGTCCTGACGTGCACCTGGCAGTGAGTGCTCCCGGCTTCATCACAACCACTTTTACCTTCTTGCCTAGGGACGGGCACAACCTTACCCACAAGCTGGGGAGTGGTAGAAGGCTGTATTTTGGGAGTGGACTTTGGACTGGCCGCCTGCAACTAAATCCTGGCGACATCACTTTCTGGTTGTGACCCTGTAACTATGGAAAAATGCGCTCTTCTCCACAAGCCCTTTCTCAGTCTTTCCAGTCAGAATTAATCTCTGCTTCTTCACAGCGTTTTCTGTCTTGCTATAATGCAGGGCTGGTTCGTGAGGAACTCCCAAGAGTGTTTATGAAATGCATTACCACATTGCACATGATCTTGTCACTCTGTGCTCACATTTGTCTCTGATAAAGAACTCTTTGAGGGCAGAGATGATGTTTCATTCATCTTCGTACACCAGATGGTGTTCTGTCCATATGGTGCTTAATGGGCTTGGAACCTATAGGGAAACTTATTTTAAATGAGTTTTAGAGAAATGACATCAGTCGAATACACTGTTTAGTGTTGTTTTCGAATATTGCCAAGGACAGCGTCCAGTCCAGCCCCTTCACCTCCCAGCAGGAAGGCTTCAGGACTCTGTAATGGGGAGCTACTGCCATGGTGGATCTCCATAGCTACCCCAGCAAACTGTCTCATCTTGCCCAGTCGGCCAACCCGACATATTAACAAATGGGACCCGGTGTTGGGAAATGATCTAATATATACAAGCAACCCAAAAGGAGCAATAAACATCGCACACAATTTGTTTCATACACATCTTCACTCCTAAGGGTAGCTGAATTCCAATGTATACGCGAAAGTTCTCATTTTAGCAGTCCCCACCTAAAAACCCCTTCGTAATTTTCTTTTTCTAAAAGTAAATGCATGCAATTTGGTTCTTTTGCTGGATTTTTAGATTCAGTTGAGATGCTGGAGCCACGAATAACTTGCATGTGCTTTGTTTGTTTATTGTTTTATTTATGCATAATCTTAGTAAGGTAGACTCTGGGTGGCAGCTTCCAAGAACCCAGATAGAATAACTTCATCGTGATATCTTGTGCATTTACTGTCCCTTCCTACCGAGCCCAAATTATGCATGACCCAAAATTGGAAGAGAATTGGAAGAAAAAAAAAACAGGCCAGAAATGGGTATAAACCTTATTCTATTGATTTACTTATTATGCTTAATGCTTGTTGTCTGTCTCCCATCTCAAGAATGGCTAAGCTACTCGAGCTCTGCTATTACAGTCAACGGATATATGCCAACAGCCCTCAGCACGTAGTAGGCAGTCATGTTACTGTTTAGTTTATGAGTTGACATATCCTAAGTGTTTCGTTTATGCCTTTCCATACCCACGTGGAAATGAGAGAAGAGGTACGTTTAGAGACAGAAAAGGGAGCAGGCAGGCTGGTCAGTGAGCAGAAAGCCTGACTGTTTACAAGATCAATCCAAATCCAGGTTTACCGGTCCTGAAGCCCCGCCCTCGGGCGGGCTCTTGGCCGATAACCTTACCTATGATTGGTTGGACCTTGGTGATGGGCGTGCAGGCCGCGTTGGAGGAGCCGCACTCTAAACTTCCGGGAGCGGCGGTTATCTTAGCGCGGGCGGTTGATCTGGAGGTCTCTGGAGCGTTTCGGGCGCCTGGTGGGGAAGCCCGGGAAACCTGAGTGTCCGCCGCTCGGATCATCCAAGTGTCAGTGGAGGGGATTGCGGGCCGCATGGGGAGAGGACGGATGGCGGCAGCGGAGCTGCGTGGTTAGCGGGGTGAACAGGTGAAGGCCCTCGACCCCCTGGGCCTTGCGTTAACACCAACCCACCCACTTACTCCAGCAGTTCTGGGACCCTGAGATTCAGGAGAGGTCCCAGGGGTGATGGAGTATGGGTGCAGCCTCTTCTTAGAATGTGGTCCTGGCACAGTGCCTCACTTTGCTGCTTTCCTGGTTTCTGACAGGTCTGAGCATGGCAGAAGGGAACACCTTGGTCTCAGTGGATTATGAAATTTTTGGGAAGGTTCAAAGGGTGTTTTTCCGCAAGTACACTCAGGTATGTTGTCCTATAGCCTTGAAGAGGTGTCGGGGCGCAATACTAGGTGATGGAATGAGGCCTTGTTCTGACAAATGGGAATTCGGAGAGGCTGGCTCTTTGGTAGCTTCAAGGGGACAAGTTGCGGCTGCAATGGATTGAGATGGTTTTGCAGTCTGTAAAACACGATGCAAACGAAAGCGGCTCCCGACTGGTTTCTTTCAAGCAGTGGTAAGGGAGCATCTAGACTCTTCTGAAGGAGAATACCCCTAACCATCCTGTTGTACTGTCACTTTTATAGGAAAGCTACTGTCAAGGTGGAGATGGCAATAGGTGAACTGATCACACTGATGTAAGTTCTGTAATCACCATCAAACCCACCACAAGTTTACTCCTCCAGCTTCCTCTCCAGGCCTCAATTTCTTTTTCTTTTTGTCCTTGAACAAGAACAAGAGCATCCAACCCTTTCTAAGATCAGTTTTCCTCCTCATTAAAATACCTTATCAGGCTAGGCGTGGTGGTACACACCTTTAATCCCAGCACTCGGGATTAAAGGCAGAAGCAGGTGGATCTCTGTGAGTTTGAGGCCAGCCTGATCTACATAGCAAGTTCAGTTCAGTACGTCAAAAACTACGTAGAGAACCCTTCTCTCAAAATACAAAAACAAACACAAAACTCTATTCATTCCAATGTAGGTGTTAACATCAAAGGTGAGTCTGGTATTCCCCTTAGAGTAATGGGGAGTATTTGAGGGAAACGAACAAACGTGGCAGCCTCTTCCTCTTTCCCTATCACTAATCTCACCAATGCACAAGGGCAATCTCAATTTCTCTTCTGCCTTCAGCAGAGGGCGATCAGGCTGTTGACTGCCCAAATCATGTGCAACCCTGCTGAGTACGTTGTAGATCTGGCCAGGCGGTGGTGGCACAGGTCTTTAATCCCAGCACTCGGAAGGCAGAGGCAGGTGGATCTCTGTGAGTTTGAGGCCAGCCTGGTCTACAAGAGCTAGTTCCAGGACAGGCTCCAAAGCTACAGAGAAACCCTGTCTTGAAAAACCAAAAAAAAAAAAGATATTTGTCCTCAGCACTTTCCTCCAAGTGTCATATTGCTGGGACTGTGATGCTGAAAACTCAGACCTGAATCTTTGAAGAGGGAGTCAGTGGTCAGTACCTCTTACTCTGTTTTGTGTTCATTTGTGAAGCACCTCTCAAATGCTGCAAGTCAGAGTGAGGCTTCAGTTAGCGTTACCACTGCTTATGCAGGGCAGGTTCCTGTGATTTTGTAAATGGTGGTGACATGCTCACAGAGGAATCTGCGTTGTTGAGGAAAAGGGAACACATATTACAGGGCATCTTTCTCTGCCTGCCCCACCTCCACCCCAAGTTTGGAGACAGTTTAGAATACAGAAAAGCAAATACTGATAATGAAAATGTTGTTTGGGGACTCTTCTTTTCTTTTCCTTTCCTTTCCTTTTCTTTTCCAAGACAGAGTTTCTCTGTATAGCTCTAGCGGCCGTCCTGGAATTGGCTGTGTAGACCAGGCTGGCCTCGAACTCAAGAGATCCTCCTGCCTCTGTCTTCAGAATGCTGGGATTAAAGTCGTGTTCCACCACTGCCTCGCTTTTAGAATTTTTTCTATCTGTAGATTTGTAAGCATTTGTTTTCTTTTTCTTAATTATTATTATTATTATTATTGGTTTTTGATTTTTTTTTTTTTGTGATAGGGTTGCTGTCCTGGAACTCACTTTGTAGACCAGGCAGCCTTGAACTCACAGAGATCCATCTGCCTTTGCCTCCTGAGTGCTGGGATTAAAGGTGTGCACCACCATTACCCAGAAACTTTATTTTTTTTAATTAAATAATTTTTAAATTTTTTGTGTATTGGTGTTTTACTGTTGGGCCCTAAAGCCCCACCAAGGAGGAGGTCCCCCCAAGAGATACTCACAGCACGGTTGATGCAATAGCAAGAGGAATTTTTATTCTGCCACGGCAGAGGTCCCTCAGCCTCGAGAGGAGAAGGACGCCTGCTTTGTCCATTACAAGCTCTTTTAAAGAAAAAAAAAACACAAAATCAGGGAGGGGGTAGTACAGAATCAAAGGGAAAGTCCAGAAATCATTTATCAACTATTTTGACTAGTTCATACAATGGTCAGCTAACTCTACTTGATCAATGTTATGGTGATTACAAGGAGGAACACCTGCAGGTCGTCTCACCCCAGTTCCAGGGTCCGGGTCTATTGAAGAAAGACTACAATGGGGATGGAAAGTACTCAAAGCTCCCTTGCACGCGTGGCTGGTTACTAGGGTCCTGGTTCCCAGGAAGGGGGGGGTGCAGTAGTGCTAAGGTGCCTCCTAATGCTAGAGGCCTGATTCCCAGGATGGGGGGTGCAGTAGTGCTAAGGTGCCTCAAAGTCTTTCATTACCTGCATGAATGTCTGTGTGAGAATGTCGGATGGATCCCCTGCAACTTGATTTATGGACAGTTGTGAGCTGTCTTGTGGGTGCTGGGAATTGTACCCAGGTCCTCTTGAAGAGCAGCCAGTGCTCTTAGCCATTGAGCCACCTCTCCAGCTCCCTCATGCTCAGCTTTAAAGACTTTGTGATTACTTATTAGACAGAAAAAAAAAACATTAGGATAAGAAGCAGCAGGACTGGAAAGGGGATTGGCATGAGATTCCCTTTAGACATGAGCTTTACTGGGAGAACCTTGTGACAGTGAGGGTCTGAGGCCATGCCTCGAGGTAGGAGAGCAGTATGAGAGACAGACAGTACATCAGATCAGGCAGCATGTCAGGGCTTACAGGCTTTCTGGTAAGGTGACTCAGTGGGTAAAGGCACTAGCCACCAAGACTGGTGGACTGAGTTCAACAGTCCCCAGGACCCACGAGGTGGAAGGAGGGGCAGGCCTCTGCAGGCAGTCCTCTGACCTCCACACTTGTGCTACGGTATGCATGCCTCACCCTAATATATAAGTAAATGTAATTTAAAAGTACGTTTTTGTAGTGGAGAGGAGTATTGTTAAGAAAAGTAACCTAGGAGCCTGCGGAGATGGCTCAGCAACCTGCACTGTTCTTCCAAAGGACTCAAGTTCTGTTGCCAGAGCACACATAGGGTGGTTCATAACCACCTCTAATTCTAGCTCCGGGAGGCTGGCACCACCCTCCTCTGGACTCCATGGGAACCAGCACTCAACACGCTCACATACTGCACCCTCTCTGTATATGCATAATTAAAAATATTAAAAAAAACAGGTAGCCACCACAGATGGAACCTTCAATAAAACCCCCAAACAAAAGAAAATATCTGACTCTTCTGTCTTTTCAGAATTAGAATTTGTCAGTTAGTTATTTTAGGATTTAGTATAGGACAGTCTTCAGGAGTAAGAACATGGAGGAATGAGAAACCAGCATAACACAGCATGGCTTTTTAAATTCTTGGTCCAGAGAGAGCTGTAGCAGGGACATGGCCTGGTTTCTCCAGGCTGCCTGCTTGGTCTCTTAGAGCAGCCAGTGTCGTCAGTGGCCAGGCCCATGACTTAACAAGTCAGAAGGAAGCATGATAGCCACAGGGCCTCATGAACCCCTTAGTGTCAGAGCCCAATCTCAGCTGCTTTCCTTCTCTACCAAATGTGACAGAAAGTGGGCTTTGGGTGCAATGTAAACATGTTGGGTTAGAGAGACCTCTGCAGTAAAAACAATGGTTGTGTTGCCCAGGAAATTGTGAAATACTGTGTAATGATCTTTAAAGATACAAAGGATCGCTTCATCTGGATTCATTTACGTGTGGTCCTGGCTAAAGGCAAAGGGAAGGATCAAGTAACTTCAAGCTTTTTCTGTTTAATGCACCCAGTAGATTGCTGATTAAGAGACAAGAAAATGAGGGTTGGGGTATGTCTTAGAGCTGTTATACTTGCCTAGGTAGCATGTATAAGGCCCTAGGTGAATCCCCTATACGGAAAAACAAAACAACCCCTCCCCACAAAACCCACTAAAACTCAGGGTCTCTCCCACTTCAATTTACTTGGCTGGGTGGGATAGTGCACACTTCTAATCCCAGCATTCAGAGGGCAGAGGCAGGAGGATGGCTGGAAGATCAAGGCAGGCTGGGACTACCTGATAAGTTCCAAGTTCCATCTAGGTCAGCCAATGTTACATAGTGAAACTGTCTCAGGAAAAGAAAAGAAATGAAGGAGCTGCAAGCCCAGCAGCCCAGAAGAGTCAGCCTTAGGAAAGCATTTTAAAGGCATCTTTGGGGGCCTACTCTTTAGTCCTAACCGGGCTCATTACTGCATAATGGAAATTGTCAGGAATTCAGCGCTGAGTTTTGTAGAATGAAAAGGGAAGTGGAATCGAGTAGCTACTCTTGATGTTAAAGTCAGCCACAGGATTCTCCTTGGTGTCTGCTTTGATTTTTCTGGACAATGTCAAATTAGTCTCAGTGGTTTGACTCCAGGCCAAGATTCTGGCCACAGAGTACAGCCTCACTTTGTTCTGTGCAACCTCATTGGATCGCTCTTTCTCTTCTCTCCCCGCTCAGGCTGAGGGCAAAAAGCTAGGTTTGGTAGGCTGGGTCCAGAACACCGATCGGGGCACCGTGCAAGGACAGCTGCAAGGCCCCATCTCCAAGGTGCGGAGCATGCAGGAATGGCTGGAGAAGACAGGAAGTCCCAAATCCCACATCGACAGAGCGAACTTCAACAATGAGAAAGTCATCTCAAAGCTGGATTATTCAGATTTCCAAATTGTAAAATAATGACCTGAATTTAATGTTTTCAAAATTATCTCCCTCCTTTTTTTTTAATGATAAAGCACTCTTCTGTGCTCAGTATTAGATTTTGTAAGTTATTTTAGCTGTGCGTTTGAAAGTTACCATTATATGTACGATGGAATGCAATCGTGTACAATTCTAACCAATAAAAACACACTAGAACCTTATGTTTATTGTGCTTAAATCTTTAGTGAACTTTTGGGCAACATGATGTATTCAATCAGTGTTGTGAGAGGAAGACTTGTCGTAGTTTAAAGAGGCCTGAAGGGGAAGAAGTGACTGTGAGTCATTTCTGTGAATTGTTACTCTCTTTCTTCAGATTAGATGTGTGGAAAGAACAAAGCCACCAGGTCAGGCTGGAAGTGTTCAGATGATGTGCTGGACTAAGTACTTTTGGCTTTCAGGTTCTTGGAACATCTGCTGTCATTGCTTTTCCATGGGTTAGAAAATCACATAAAGTAGTTATGGGCTGGACTCTGCCCCCTCCCCTCATTTGTATGTTCAGACCCTAACCCAAGTACCAATCCTGCTACTGGTGTGTGTGAAGGATGTGAAGACATGAGCTGCAACCCAAGGAGAGGCTTCAGGGGAAACCTGGCTGACACCTTACTCTCAGACTCTTCCCAGAACTGGTGGGGGAAGAAACTGCTACTTAAGGCGCCCAGCCTGTGGCCTTTTGTCATGGATCCCTGGCAAACTGAGCAATAATCAGAATCTTGTTCCCTTGGCCTCAGTTACTTGGTTTGATTAGTAACTAAACAAATACATACTTATTTTAAAGTTCGTCGTAACTTCCATTAAAGGGAGGAGGGGTGGCCTGGAGAGGTGGTTCAGCAGTTAAGAACACTGTTAGCTCTTCCAGAGGTCCTGAGTTCAATTCCCAATGCACAACTGTCTGCAACTGTAGTCCTATGGGATCAGATGCCCTCTTCTGGTGTGCAGATGTACTTGCAGACAAAAAAAATCCATATATGTAAAATATATAATTCTTTTTTTAAAAAAGTTGCAGGGCCCAGGAGAGGAGGTTTCAATGAAAATGAGACAGAAGGCAAAAAAGTGAGACTAGGTTAATAATTCCCAAAACATTCTCACTGGGCTGTTAAGAGCTCTGTTCTCCCTCAGTTAGGAAAAAGCAGTGGTGGTATTGGGAAGATTTAAAAAAAGAAAAAAAATCAATGAAGGGAATCCTGGCATTCTGATTTGCAAATTAAGAGAGTAGTGGGAGGCAGAGGTAGATGGATCTTTGTGAATTCGAGGCCAGCCTGGTCTACAAAGTGAGTTTCAGGACAGCCAGGGCTACACAGAGAAATCCTGTCTTGAAAAATCAAAGGAGAGGGCGAGGGAGAAGAGGAGGTCTGACTTCTTAGCATTAATTCTAAGAACATTCTGCATTCTCTGATGTCTACTTGCCACCAGGTCGCGGCAGTATACAAAACCAAAGGCCACCTTCACATAGTTTACAATCTAGCGAACAAAGACTAGGGAAACAAGTAAAATATGTGGAACGAAATATTAGTACCTGCAAAGAAAAAGAGAACGAGAAAGGGAACAAACCAAAACTTACTGGAAACAGCCTATCACCCAATACCAAAAGAGACTAGGGCGCGAGCACTAATTAGAACTAGTCAGGTGAAGGAGCCAAGTTCTCAGCCGGACCACCTTGGCGCCTGCGCACGAGACGTCGTGCGGACCCAGGCTCGCGGCGTCTCGGAAGCGCATGCTCTAGAGCGCGCGTCCGGCATCGGAAGCGGTTGGTCCCGAGAGTTGATGGAGGAGATTCGAGGTGAAGGGGAAAGCACGTGTTGAAATCTGGCCCCGTGAGCTCGTCTAACACCAGAAGAGCTGTGGTGACGGCCGCGGGCCTGCCTGGAGGAGCGCGGGGGCACCAGAAGGAGGGGCCTCGGGAGCGGCGGGGCGGGTGGACTGCGCAGGCGCGAGCTTCCAGCACGGGAATCTGGACTGTCTAGACCCTGGGACTGTAGTGAATGCTTATTAAACATTTACCCCGTTTGCCAACGGCCGCTAAGTTCATTGTCTTAGAAAGCAAACGTAGCCTCAGTTTGCCCAGGCTTTAAAAAGCCAGCCCTGCCACCAGCTCTGCTGTTATCGTTTATGAAGAAGGAAGTGAGACCTCTAAAGACCTAGACTCTTAGGATTTGTTTGTACTTGCAAGAAAACTTGAAATCAGTTCAGACCACCCCATACCATCATTATTATTGCCATGTTGTGTTCTGGGGATATATAGGGATCGAGCGTATCAGTACAAAAGAATATTAGTAATCAGGACTTTTCAGCGAACTATCAAGCAACAGCAGAATTTAAACAGCAAATGATAGAAAACCTAACAGGCAAAGGACTTTCCCTGCTTTAGCCCCCACGCCGCCCCCTCCCCGCCTCTCCTCAGAAAGTAATTGTGACAATCGTAATCGCTTACTACCTGTGTCTCCTTGATATGTTTGACTTTAATTCTGTCCCGTTGTCTCACTTTCTTACAGTGTCTTAGCACACTAAAGTTTTTCTAAAAGCCATGGATATTGTGTAATGTATAAGTGTTATGAAACAAGCTTGGATCTTTTTCATGAATAATTTCTAGCTAACGTTTCTTAGCTGAATTTAATTTAGGCATCTGCTTTTAGTGAAGTGCTTAGAATTTTGAATAGTGTCTTTACGGGTCAACATCAAGTATAATTATGGTTTCTCTTTAGGGCATTCACTTTAGGAACAGGGAAAATTATGAAATTATGAATGCTTCTCTGGAATCGAGGTCCATTATACCAGGCATGAGTTTTATGTGCTGTCCAGAAATTAGAAGTATACTTCTGTTTCATATTTTGGTTTAATATTTTATTTTCCTCAAACTGTAGTTCTTCATAATACTTGAGAGCAGTCAGTAATGCTATATAACCGAGGTTTGAAAGGGTTTGTGTGTTCTTTGTTTTTGTTTTTTCCATAGGTGGTTATTTCCAGTCAGAGAAGGAAGCCCGTGTCTAGCATTCTCTCCACATGTCCCCCTGCCATGATCAAGTGCTTGTCAGATGAAGTCCAAGCCAAACTGCGGTCCGGTTTGGCCATAATCTCCTTGGGCCAGTGTGTCGAGGAACTTGTCCTCAACAGTATCGATGCGGAAGCAAAATGTGTGGCGGTCAGGGTGAATATGGAAACCTTCCAAGTCCAAGTGATAGACAATGGACTTGGGATGGCGGGTGATGAGATAGAGAAAGTGGGAACCCGGTATTTCACTAGCAAATGTAGCTCAATACAGGACTTGGAGAACCCGAAGTTCCATGGTTTCCGAGGAGAGGCCTTGGCAAGTATCGCCGACATGGCCAGCGCTGTGGAAATTTCATCCAAGAAAAGCATGGCTATGAAAACCTTCGTGAAGATGTTTCAGAATGGGAAAGCCCTAAACGCTTGTGAAGCGGATCGGACTAGACCCAGTGTGGGGACCACAGTAACCGTGTATAACCTGTTCTCCCAGTTCCCTGTGAGGAGGAAGAGCATGGACCCTAAACTAGAGTTTGAGAAGGTTAGGCAGCGGGTGGAAGCCATCTCCCTCATGCACCCTTCTGTCTCTTTCTCTTTGAGGAATGATGTTTCTGGTGCCATGGTTCTCCAGCTCCCCAAAACCAAAGACACATGTTCTCGGTTTTGTCAAATTTATGGATTGGGCAAGTCTCAAAAGTTAAGAGAAGTACATTTTAAATATAAGGAGTTTGAGTTTGGTGGCTGCATTAGCTCTGAAGCGCACTACAATAAGAGTATGCAGTTTTTGTTTGTGAACCGAAGACTGGTTTTAAGGACAAAGTTGCATAAACTCATTGACTTTTTATTAAGAAAACAAAGTACTATATGTAGGCCAAAGAATGGCTCTGCCAGTAGGCAAATGAATTCCAGTCCTCGGCACCGCGCTGCCCCCGAACTCCATGGGATCTATGTCATCAATGTACAGTGCCAATGCTGTGAATATGACGTGTGCATGGAGCCCGCCAAAACTCTGATCGAGTTTCAGAACTGGGATACCCTGTTGGTTTGTATTCAAGAAGGAGTCAAACGGTTTTTAAAGCGAGAAAGCCTGTTTGTAGAGTTATCAGGTGAAGCTATTAAGGGCTTTAATGAAGACAACGGTTTTGGTTTGTTTGGTGCTGCTCTGCAGACACAGGCGTCCGCTCGTGAGAAGTGTGACCAGAGCAGTTTCCAGGAAGCGTGCACTCATATTTTGGATTCCTACGAAATGTTGAATTTGCAGTCGAAAGCTGTGAAAAGAACGGCGTCTATAGAAAGTAGGAACGCACAGAATTCTGGGGATTCAGAAGCCATCAGAAAACAGACAGCTGACGCAGTGCACAGTTGTGAAACAGATGGCCTGGGCCATAGTGGAATGATAGAGTCATCACACAGCGAAGACAGCGCTCACTTAGCATCAAGGGCGTTGGGAGAAGAGGGAGAAACCGAGAAACATCAGAAATCTTTCTTGGAACAGAGGACTTCAGAAAGTCCACATGGAACTAGCCCAAAAATGGTTTCAAGCCCTGATCGGACACATCATCTCTTTGAAGAGAGTGAGGCAGATGTAGAAATACAGAAAATAAGCCCTGTTGTTAATGTCATGGCTGCCAACGTTCCCCCAAATAGTAGGATTCAGAGCCTACTGGAGAAACATAAAGATGTTACTGAAGTGGGGTACCAGCCTCTGCCTTTTGAGATAACAGCATCTAGAGTCCAGGGTACACAGAGAAAGAAGGAAAAAGGAGAAAAAGAGCCGAGTAGTCCTGGGAGAGTAAATGATTTTAGATATGGAGAGGTTAAGTTATGCTCTACTGGCTTTATAACTCATGTGGTACAGAATGTGCACACTAAATCAAGTGAAACAGAGCATTCATTTAAAAATTATGTCCGACCCGGTCCTGTAAGTGCCCAAGAGACATTTGGAAACAGAGCACACCACGCACTCGAGACTCCAGACACCGATTTAACAAGCACTTTAAGTACAGAATCTGCTCGACTGCTCCACAAAAAATTGTGCAGGACAAACACAGGTTATGGGCTAAAGAACAACCCAGTAGCAGCGGATGAGAGCTTGGCTCTGATTCAGGAAGGTGGTACAGGACCGCACACAGGTTGCTTTTTGCCTGACGCACCCTCCTTCCCAGGGTGCAGCTATGCTTCAAATGGTAGTAAGAAAACAGAGAAGACGATGCATCCCTCCAGACTCTCAGGCCGTAGGAAGCTAAGCTTGCGTTCACAAGTAGGGTCTTTAGAGAGATTTAAGAGGCAATATGGGAAGGTTAACAGTTCTCTAGATACAGAAGGGGAAAATAACACCGAAGTCAGGGCCCATGGTGATCCTCAGGTCGAACCTGACATTCTCCTAAATGACAAGGGCCACTTAGATATGCCTGATGGTGGTAAGATGGCTACCGTGGAGCACTGTGACACTTGTCAACCAGTAAGTCACGTCCTGCACTCAGAAAAATCTCCATTTTCCAAAGAAGCTTGCTTAGAACAGATGCCTCATTTGAGAGAAAGTCCTATTACTCTGGCAGAATTCTCTCCCTTTAACAGAAAACGTTCCAATGTTGAGAAGTCCACCGAGTCACTTGCTTCAAAATTATCCAGACGGAAAGGTTCTGAAAAGGAGCTTCGAAAGACGGAGATGACAGGCCATATTAGTGAACTTCCAGGTTCGGATTCCAGTCGGACAGACAGTAGCCAGGGCACTAGGTTAGACTTACCTTTTGGTGAATTATTTAAAAATAAACATGAAAAAATAAAGAGTGACGTGCTTCTGATACCAGATCCTGCCACCCAGGATAATTCCACCCATGATAGTGCAGTGCGTTCTCACAATGTAGTGGACTACACAGAGAACCCTGAAACTCCTTTGCCATTACCCTGCAGTGATTCTAAAGCCAGTAAAGATTCAGATGTTCTCGTCAGATCTTCAGAGCAACATACAGGGACTCCGGAATCTCCCAGTAGAATGATCACGGGTCAGGTAGAAGTTACCACTGCCGGCCAAGATGGAATTTCTTCCCAGAATGATGAGTCTAAAGCAAGATCTTGTTCCGAAAATGAAGAATCTAATTCATACCCTATGGGTTGGCAGCAGCATTTTGATGTAACGCTGGGAAGAATGGTTTACATCAACAGAACAACCGGACTAAGCACGTTCGTGGCTCCCACGGAAGATGTTCGGACTGCTTGCACCAGAGACCTGACGACTGTGGCTGTGGACGTCCTCCTCGAGAATGGTAAGTCCGAAGAAGAACAGTGGCCAAAGAGCAATACAGTTGTTCACAGAGGTGGCCAGCAGACAGCCTTGGAAAGCCACGTTGTAGTATTCTGTTGTTTGGGGGGGTGGGAATATGGAGACAGGGCCTTGCTGTGTAGCTAAGGCTGGCCTCAAACTGTTTGTAGCCAAGCTGGTCTTGAACTCATGCTAGGTCTTGCTTACAAATGCTAGAATTAAAAGTATGTACCACAACACCTGGCTTCTGAAGGCCAGTTTTAAAACCTAAACTGTGTTTAAGGCATACAGAGATTCTTGAGGTTGAACAATATTTAAATGTGAGAATTTTGTGACGACTGATAAAGAATGTAAAGGTGCCTACATGTGGCTGAGACGTGTGTGTGTGGAAGGGAATGGATGGACTTCATTTTAATCAAATTGTGCTGCTAGTGGCTAAGAAGACCCACAGTACTTATCTACCTTGTTTTCCCTTTCTTCCCAAATATACTTCTAGAAATTTGTCTTTAGAGACATGACTGCTTCTGTCTGTGGCTGCCAGCCTAAGGTTGGGAAAATTCTTTACTTATCGTAAGTTCCCAGTGGGATTTTGTGAGCTTCCCCTGGAAAGTAGGAGTTAGCCAAACATTTTTCAAAATGTAGGCTAGATAGGTGCCTTCATAACTATATTTTTCAAATGTACTTTATTATATAATATATCTCCCAATCCACTTGATTAATTCTGATACAAGAAGTTGATAATAATATGGTTTTCAGGTCACACCACAAAGCAATACCAGAGCCTGGTCTAGGACTCTGGATTCTCAGGTTTCAGGCAACATTAAAAGTGACATTGTTTTGGCAGCGTGTTGAGAGCCAGATGTTGGGAGCCGGTGAAGCTGATTTCCATCTGGCTGTAATCTCGGCTTTCACTAGTAGGATAAACATTAAATATGCATCCTTGTGAAAAAGTCTCGCTTGCTGTAAAAGAATGTAAATTGTATGAATATAATTGCAAATTACAATGTCTCCTTAGGATAAATATTTCTTGTTGGAGGCTCTGATGTTAAATAAATCCTTTAGTTTTAAATGTTTTTCAATTTTTTTCCTTATGGGAAAAAATCACTGTTGTAACTTGTGGAGAATTTCATAGGAGGAGAAAACCCTTTATTTTCAGTATTGCTCTTGAGACTATCCAGTTGCCCTTAAGGCATCTTTATGTGCTTTCCAGTCTAGGTCATATGTACTGGTTTGTATGTGCTGAATGCTTATCAGAGAGGAACATCTAAGGTGCCGGCACCTCATCTTCCTGAAATGGAACTGCTTCTGAAACAGTGCCAAAAAATAACTGGATTACGTTCAAGTGTGGGGTGGTTGTTGCCAAAAGAAAGGAGGGGGATCTTAGCTGCCACACTCAACATAAACATCTGCTCCTGTTAAGTAGATTTGGGGTTGAAACTACTTAGGTGCACCGCGCCATCTGGATTACCGTAGCTTGTGAACTTTTGAGAGCCGCGTTAAGTCAAGTTCCGAATGAAAATTCATTTTGCTATCAACAGGTTCGTTGAAAAAATGGCACCTCACCCCCTCCATTCACATGGAATTGGCTCTTCACAGTGGGGCCTTAGGGCATGACTGGCGCATATGAAAATGTAGATGTGTAACGAATTTCTAAGAGAAACGGTAAAGCTCCACTAATTTTAGCGCTTGGGAGGTGGAGGCAGGAAAATCAGAAAATGAAGGCAGTCAGTTTCTCTCTCTTTTGTTTTTTAGTTTTGATTTTTTGTTTTTTTTGAGACAGAATTTCTCTGTGTAGCCTTGGCTGTCCTGGAACTTGATCTGCAGACCAGGCTAGCCTTGAGCTCAGAGGTCCGCCTGCCTCTGCCTCCTAGTGCTGGGATTAAAGCTGTACCAACACTGCCCAGGCCTCACTCAGTCTCTTATTATGAATTATACAACCTTATGTCAACTAATCTCTTGCTTTAGTTTTTGTCAGACAGGCTTGTCTTTTTCTTTTTTTTTTTTTTTTTTTCAGGCTTGTCTTTTTCAATAGCTCTGTTATGTGTTCCTCCCCTCCTTTTTATTTTATTTTTAATTTATGTATTGAATGTTTTTGCCTATATGTAGTCTGTGTACCATGTTCATGCCTCGTGCCCATGGAGGCAGAAGAGGGCATCAAAATCCATGGAACTTGAGTTACAGATGGCTGTGAGCCACTATGTGGGTTCTGGGAACTGAACTCAGGTCCTCTGGAAGTGTAGTTGGTACTCTTAACCACTGAGCCAATTTTCCAGGCTTTTCAAAACTCTTTTCAGAGTTGTTTCTAAGACTCAGATCTGCTGTTCCTCCAGATGGTTAGCATTTAGACTGGTATTTGAATAGGGTACCTTTCATCCACTCATTCATCTGATCCCATTATAGATGGTTGTGAGCCACCACGTGGTTGCTGGGAATTGAACTCTGGACCTCTGGAAGAGCAGCCAGTGCCCTTAACCGCTGAGCCGTCTCCAGCTCTGCCAGGCGTTCATCTCTGCACAGGTTCATCCAGCACTTGTTGTCTGTCACACTGTGGTAGGTATTCTCACACTGAAGCTCATCTGACTTCTCAGCATTTATTAGGGATATTAGGGATAGCTACGTAATGCAATGCAATCATGGTTATAGTAGGGCCACAGATTGTGGGTAAGACACTTAAAAGTTGGGCATTTGTAAAGGCTACAGCAGGTTGTGGGTGATCATGAAGTACAAGGGTGTGTCTGACAAGACTTTCTGAATAACTATACCTTGTACGGTATTTAGCAGCACCCCAACCTTTATCTGCTGGATTCCAGTAGCTGCCTCATTTACTCAGGATATGACCGTGGAAAATGTCTGAAGACAATGAATGCCTCGTGTGTCCCTGCAGCCTGCACATTGCACTATTAAAAGTCACATCTATGATAAAGAGATGATGTGTTAATGTAATTAAGTTAGCGATGATTTCATTGAAAGTTCTGATTTTACATGTATTTAGTAGTCTGCCTTCTGCCTTCATTTAGTTTGCAGAGAAAGATTTTACATAATTTTTATAGTTTGTATGCTGAGTTCAAATGTGTAGGTTTTTCTTTCTTTGTGTAGGGGTCCAGTACAGGTGCCATCCTTTTAGAAGCGACCTTATTCTTCCTTTCCTTCCGAGAGCTCAGGAGGAGAGGATTATGATGAGACCAAAGGCGAGAGGTGAGAGCAATGCCAGAGGTTGCGTGTGAGACACCTGGTACACCCTGTCCCGCTCATTGCGGAAGACTGAGCAGGGGTGCGTTCTGAGGCATGGCCGGCACCAGCTGTGCCTCGGGAGCCAGAATTCCCCACGGCTCTGTTGAGCAGCAGAGCTAAGTGATTCGGTGCATGCATGCAGAATAGAAATTGCTTTTCCAGACTGGCGGTTGGTGCTGGGTGACTATGCGTAGGCTATGGTGTCTGAGACTGGGGAAACATTTCTTATTTTTAAGGATTGAATTTCTCCATATTACAGTACTTTGATCTCTGTAAAATTCTTTGGAAAAAAAACTAAAGAAACCTATTATTTTTGTTTTTGTTGTTTCTTAAAATCAATTAAGTATATTTTTATCAAAAGGCAACAAGAAAATTGGAACTGTAGTTTTTTCTGTACATGCACTTGGAAATATTCTTCTTTTGTTTTAAGATTTACTTAGTTTTGTTTTGTGTCTGGATATTTTGCCAGCATGCATATCTGTGCACCATGTGTATCCAATGCCCTTGGCAAGAAGAGGGCATCAGATTCTCTGAATTAGAGTTACAGATGGTTATGAGCCACTGTGTGGGTGCCAGGAACCAGACCTGGGTCTTCTGCCTGGAAAGATGGCTCAGAGGTGAAAAGGACCATCTTTCCAGGCCCCTGGAGCATTGGTATAGACCAGCAGTTTTTGACCCATAGGTTGCAACCCCTTGGGTTGCATATCAGATATTTAAATTACATATACAACAGTAGCAAAATTATAGTTATAAAATAGCAATGGAATAATTTTATGGTTGGTGTCACCACTACATGAGGAACTGTATTAAAGGGCACAGCATTATGAAGGTTGAGAACCACTCTTCTAGACCATTTGCAGAAAAGCTGTCTCAGAAGGTGCTGTCATGATACTAGTTTTAAAAGTAGCACCAGGGGCAGAAAAGATGGCTCAGTGGTTAAGAACACTGGCTATTCTTCCAGAGATCCTGAGTTCAATTCCCAGGAACCACATAGTGGCTCACAACCATCAGAAATAAAATCTGGCACCCTTTCTGACCTACATGCATACATGCAGGCAAAATACTATATTCAAAATAAATAAATATATCTAAAAAAAAAGGTAGTACCAAGCTGGGTAGTGGTGGTGCACACCTTTAAACTCAGCACTCAGGAGACAGAAACAAGTGAGTCTTTGTGACTCACTTTTGAGTCTAGTTTGAGGCTAGCCTGGTCTACATAGTGAGTTCTAGGCCAGCCAGAGCTACATGGTAAGAGCTCTGCAGAACAAAGAAGTAACATCAAAATGAATATAGGGACACAGTAGAGGCTCTAGTCAGAGTGTGGAGTGTGGGGATAATATGTCTACTCTTGGTCTGGAAGCCGTAGCTGAGCAGGAGAGGACACTCTTTCCTGAGTTCTTGATGGCAGCTGTCCCCTTTGCCCTAGATGCTGTGGATGCTGCTGTTGTCCGTGAATCACTTCAGGCCTTGTTTTCAGACTGGAACAACCCAGTATTTGCCCGGCACCCAGAGGTGGGTCTGTAGTACTTTTTCTTTGCCTGTTTATAAATTTGAACTTCATTTAAGCTGAATATGGGCATGCATGAGTATATGAATTTGTAATTATGAATGGAAAGTAGGCAGATTTCTAGATGGTATACTCAGAAATTAGTGCTTAATGTAGAAAGAATAAACCAGCATTTTGGAAGGTCAAGAATTTTGGATTAGCATGTATATTCAGTGTGAAGAGTGAGTGTATTTACCCTGTCTTAGAGGGCCATTTCTCCTACGGGGACAGGTCTGTGTGGCCTGGCCCTGTTCTCCCTTTGATGCGCTGTCACAGCCTACACTAAGTGTGTTAATGAGCGTGGATAATAGACAAGCACTGGACTACTGATTCATCACTTAAGCTGTCTTTAAGGACTTGATCATGGAGCACAGACAAATTGTTCTGAAATGATTCTGGGTTTTGTCAGTGTTTATAAAAAAATTGTTAGACAACTTATTCTTATCTGTAAACAATCTATAGGTTTCCTACATTCATCCTATTTCTAGTAGGATATATGAAAATCCTTGTTTGGTTTTGGATTTATTTTCTGCAGTGCTGGGAATTGAAACGAGAGCCTTGCATATGCTAAGCAGTACTCTGTCACTGACCTGGATATTCCAAGCCCCGAAAAAAATGTGTATTTTCAAGGACTTTGAAATCATTGGTAAAACAGTTCCACAGACATTAAAAGTTAAATTGTGTTTTTCCTGGGTCTTTCTAGGTTGCTGTTGATGTCAGCAGTGGCCAGGCTGAGAGCTTAGTGGTTAAAATCCACAACGTGCTGTATCCCTATCGCTTCACCAAAGAGATGATCCGTTCAGTGCAGGTGAGTCAGCACCAAAGAGATGATCCATTCATTCAGTGCAGGTAAAGCAGCACCAAACCCATGCAGTGTTTACGCTAGACTAACTTTTGTGAAATTGAGAGTTTTTTAAATGAGCGAGACCGTATTAGTCAAGGCATGCTGTATTGGGCTTCTCTAGAGGAACGGAACTGATAGACTGATAGATTGATTGGAGTGGCTCACAGGCTCTGGTCCAACTAGTCCAGCAATGTCTGCCTACCAACTGAAGGTCCAAGGAGCCAGTAATTGTTCAGTCCACAAGCCTGGATGTCTCAGCTGATCTTCAGTTTACACAGGAGTCCCAAAGAAGGAGGCTCTGTTGCCAGTGAAGGAGTGGATTTACCATCGAGAGTGAGGGCAAGGCAGCAGAGAGCCAGCTTCCTTCTTCCTAGTCCTTTATATAGGCTGCCAGCAGGAGGTGTGGCCCCGACTAAAGGTGGAGCTTCCTACTCCAAAGATCTGGATTAAAGGTGTATCTTCTCACCTCAAAAAGTCTGAATTAAAAGTGGGTCCTCCCACTTCAAATAATTTAATTAAGAAAAAAATCCCCCATAGGTATATCAGACTCTTGGGTTCTAGTTAATTCTAGATGTAGTCAAGTTGACAACCAAGAAGAGCCATCACATGTGTGTTTGTTTTAATCTGACTGGAATCTTAAAATAATAATAATAATAATAGTTAATAATATTATTAATAGTTATTTTTTTTTTTTAGTTTTTTGAGAGAGGGTTTCTGTGTAGCCCTGGTTGCCCTGGCACTTGCTCTATAGACCAGGCTGGGCTCAAACTCACAGAGATCTGCCTGCCTCTGCCTCTCGAGTGCTGAGATTAAAAGTTGAATTTTTATCATCAGGACAAAAAAATGCAAAAAATTTCAATAGCAAAGAAGAATATTCTAAATAGTACATGCGAGTAGGTTTTCAGGGAATGAATTATGCCAAGGACGTTTAACAGTTCTGAAGCTCTGTATCTGGAGCTTATATTTTATAACTATATGACAAATGCCAACAAATTATCTGTAAGTCAACATTGTCCTTAGCTGTGCGGAATCCTCACTTTTGAATGACCCTCCCTATGTGAAGCTGCAAAGGTTAAGGAGGCTGTAGAGTGGGAGGTTCATTAACAAAAGGGACACCCCTGTCTCCTCTACTTTTCTGTTTAGAACGAGACTTCTGGGGAGCATGAGCCTGGACAGAGGAAGCCTCCACGGTCTGAAGCTGGTGGTGGCTTTTACAACTGCTCTTAGACTAGCTCTTCCAAAATGGCTTTCCTGGCTTTTCACAGTTGAAAATTTGTATTTTATGCAATGCATGATGTCACACACCTTTAATCCTAGTACTTGGGAGGCAGAGACAGGTGGATCTCTGTGAGATGGAGGCCAGCCTGGTTTACATAGAGTTCCAAGTCAGGCAGGGCTACACATTGAGACAATTGATTTAGTTCTGTTCATTAGCAGTCTCTGGTCATGTGTGTTCCTCAGAGTGTCTCTGCTGGAATCATTGCAGAGGTACTTTGACCTTGCCAGCTAGCGACCTTTCTGTCCCAGCCTGGCCTCCCTACCCATCCTTTCACCCCATCTCAGAACTGTCTCACCATCAGCAGCACTTTAGTCAGTGTTTTAGAACAAGTCTTTGTTGTGTTTCTCGGGAGAGAGTTCACATATGTGTCAGAGAGCAGCTTGTAAGCGTCAGCTCTCTCCTGCATGTGATCGCAAAGGCGAAACTCGGGTAAGAGCACTTTCACCTGTGGGGCCTCTAGCCGGCTCCTCGCTGGGGTCTCGGCTGTGGGTGTTAGCATGTAAAGTGTTAGCTTAGCTCTTGATGCGGGTAAGCCTTGGCTAATTGTTACTGTCACATTGTTTGTCTGAATGGATGGCAGGTTCTCCGGCAGGTGGATAACAAGTTTATAGCCTGTCTAATGAGCACGAAGGTGGAGGAGAGTGGCAAAGCAGGTGAGCACGGGTTTGCTTCAGTTAATAAGCCGGCTGCGGTTCTGGCCACTGGCTCTTACGGTACTTGGGGGTACTCTTGTTGTGGGATATGACTACTTGTTTGGGATCAACAACTTGAAATTGTTGTAATTTCAGTGATTTAAACAGATAAAGGAAACTACCTAAAGTAAGAGACAGGTTTTAAAGGAGATAGACTTTAAGTACATTGACACACATATGAGGCATATTAAGATTTTGATCTTTTGAGATGTAGCCCAGGATCGACTCACATTCATGGTATCCTGATGCCTCAGCCTGACTGCTGGGATTGCAGGCCTGTACCACACCACACCCGGTTCATTAAACTGCTAATAGCAGTCACCATGGAAATGAAATGAGGGTGGGCAAAGGGGGAAGTTCATCTTCTACTCGCTTAAAATGTCTTATGTTGTGACATTTGCGTGCGTGAGAGAGAGAGACAGACAGACATGTGGAGGCCAGGGGTAACTTCGGGTGCCTTCCTCCAGTACTTCCCACCCTACCTTTTGAGACAAGGTTTCTTGTATACCTGGGGCCACTGTTTCTGCTAGAGTGGCTGTCCAGCAACACTCCTGCCTCATCTGCTTGTCTCTACCTTCCCCATTGTTGCAGCTACAGGTGTGGCCCACCACACTCAGGCTTTTATGTAGATGCTAGGGATCCAAATTCCACCTTCATGCTTGCACAGCGAGTATTTATTTTACGGCTGAGCCCCATCCTCCTTTAATGACTGTGTGTACACACAGGTGCTCACCTGTACACATGGAAGTTAAAGGGTGAGCTTGGGTGTCACATTCAGGAATGCCATCCCTCTCCTTTGAGACAGGATTTCTAATTCACCTGGAGGTCAGCAGTTAGGCTAGACTGGCTGGCCAGTGAGCCCCAGGGCTCTTCTTGTCTTCTCCTCTCCAGTTTTGAGATCACAAGTGTGCACCACTGTACCAGACATTTTTACATGGATTCTAAGGCTCTAACTCAAGCCCTGGTACTGTAAGGGTGCTTTACCTGCTGACCCATTCCCCCCACCCCCCACCCCACCCTCGCTTCATTTACAGTCTTCTCATCAAAAGTAATCGGTTTATGTAAGTTTATATGGTGTGTTCTGCTAGGTTTGTCAAGAGTTACACAGAATCAGGAAGCCAAAGATCTGTTTGGCTCAGTGGTTAAGAACACTGGCTTCTCTTCCAGAGGACCTGGGCTAGATTCTCAGCATCGTATGGTGGCTCACAGAGTTGTCTGTAACTCAAGTATTAGGGGATCTGACTCCTTCTCCTGGCCTCCTCCATCACCAGGCATGCATGTGGTCATAGATGTATGGTTAGGCAAAACACTCATATACATAAAATTAAAAAAAGTTATACAGAATCAGGTAGTGACTTGCTTAAGTCAAACAATAGTTCCTACATAGATCATTCAACAAATACTGTTTGAATGCCTTTTGTTTGCTAGGGACTGTACCAGGCCCTCGGGGTACAATGATAGGAAAAATAGATGGGAGAAATAATCATACAAACACATAAAATTTTAAGGTAGCTCTTATGGAGAAGTATGGATGGTGTAAAAACTGATACTGAGAGATTTGATTTTGCCAGAGAGGTCAGCAGTCAGTTCTTGGTAAAATGAGTCTGAAGTATGAACATGTCAAGGAAGACAGTGAGCAAGTAACTTGTAATTCCCTCCTTGTTAGGTGACAGCAGAAGAGTAAGCGTGGAGACAGAGCTGGGAAGAAGCAGTAGCCAGGTCTTGAATGTGTTTCAAGCTTCGCTCTGTCCCACCCAGCACTGGCCGGAAACAGTTGGATGTTTCCTAGTCTTTGTCTTTGGAATGCTGCCTGTCATACCATGTCCTGTTTTAGGGGGACTCTTCTAGTTGCAGTTTGGAGACTGGACTGAGTTTGGGTGGAGTTCCGGGAACTCCAGAGACAGTTGAGAGGTAACTGCAGCATCTAAGAAATGGTTACTTAGTCATGGTAGACTAAGGCGAGGTAAAAGCATTAGGACTACGTGGTGCCCTGTGCAAATAATCCAGTATTCAGAAGACAAGGCGGGAAGACTGGGGCCAGGCTAGATAGTGTAGCCTGGGCTACCACGTGTGACCTCACCTCCAGTAAAACAGAAAAATGTGGATGCGTCAGGAAAGCAGGAGATAAAGTCAACAGGACTTGGTGATGGATTGTTATGGGAGTGGGATATATCAAAGGTAACTCCTAGTTTTCTGACCTCCATGGCCAAGTGGATGATGTTGCAAGACCAAGAGGTGGAGCAGGCTGGGAGGATGAAAATCACCAGTTTAATCTAAATTCCCTTTGAAATGTTCACGAGGAGGCGCAGGAATGTGTTTGGCTAGTGCAGGTGTGGGCTAGAGTGTTCTGACCTGGTGATATAGATTCGAGTTGTCTGCGCAGGGTTGGTTATTGGTGGTTGAGTTTTCTCACCTAGAAATGTGGAAAGTGAAGCCCTGAATCTAGAATAAGTCAAACCTGTAACAGCTGAGACGACAGGCAGCCCAGCAGAAGAAGAGAAGGAACTAGAGAAACGAAGAAAATAGAGGTTGTCTTGCCCAGGACCTGACACCGTCTGCTGCAGTGGTGTTTGCTAAGGGAGGCCTGTTCGGTTTTGTGACAGTGGAGACGTTGGCACCGAGGACCGTCTGGAAGAGCTGGGGCACAAGCCGTTGCTGCTCATGAGGACTGTAAAGAGAGACCAGAAATCTGAGACCTGGGGGGGAGGGGCCAGCAGAGAATGAGGGAGGCTGCCTTTGATTTGAGTTCTGAGCACAGTCAGAGTTGTCTGTGTCTGTGGTCTTGTGTTGCTCAGTCTCGGTTACCCACAGTCAACCAAGGTCAGAATATTATGTGGAAAATTCCAGAAATAAGCAACTGGCAAGTCTTAAGTTTCACACTGCTGCATGACGTCATCTCGTATGTCTCACCGTGGTCCACCCAAGCTGCAAATGACTCCCGTGTATCCATGCTCTCTACCCTAGCTGTGCATTACTCTGTAGCTGCGGACAGTACACATTAGCTGTACCATTTACATTGTTTATGTTGAAAGAAACCTTATTATATTTAATAATGGTACTGGCCACAATAGAAATGACGTTAGCAGTTTTATTCCGACACACTGTTAGAGGTGTATTTATCTATTATTTATTTATCTTTACAGTGCTGGGCATGCTACATAAGTACTCTATCACTGAGTCACACACCCCAGCCCTGTTCTATTTTTTTATTATTGTGAATTTCTTACTGTACCTAACTTACAAGTTCAACTTTATCATGATTACAGATTTAGAAAAAAACAGGTCTTGTTCAGGGTTTGGTCCAGGAGTTGGCTCTCTCCTCCTACCAGAAGACAGAACTCAGGTCTTGAGGCTTGGCAACAAGTAGCTGTACCCACTGAACCTTCCCTCCAGCCCTGCTGTCGGAAGTCTGCCTTGGGCCTGGGGAGCTCAGTCAGAAAGTGTCTGCTTCACAAGCAATGGAACCTGAGTTCAAGGCCCAGAAAAGCTCTGGGTGTGTGTACAGTCAAAATGCATTGTATACATGTACGAAATTCTCAAAGAATGCTAAAAACTTTTAAAAGACTATGTTAGAATATGGATCAGGAAATAAGGAAACAAAAATCCCAAATCCACATCCTTTGTCTAATCTTCAGTTTAAATACATTCTAATGCATGTCATAAACATTTTTAAAAAGTATTTAAAGAGAGAACAAATTAAAGTATGTGACATGTTTTTGTATATATGCCATGATGAAATACTTTGTTTTCTAACCTAAAAATAATTAGTATAATAAATTAATTAATTTAAAAATTAATTTCAAAAGCTGGGTGTGCTGGCATGCACTTATAATCCCAGTGCTGGAGAGGCAGAGACAGGTGGATCCCTGGAGTGCACAGGCCAGCGAAACTCATCCTCGATAATCCCCAAGCTAGTGAGAGAGCCCTCTCAGAAAAGATGATTGGTGTAGAACAACACCTGAGATTGACCTCGGCTGGGGTGTTTATGGCGGTGTTGCTTAATTGGCAGAATGCTTACATATGAGGCAGGAGGATCAGAGGTTCACTGCTACCTTCAACTACATAGTAGTCTGCAGCCAGCCTGGATACAATGAATCTTGTCTCAACAATAAAAAGTAAATTGTCTGTTTCCTTTTACTTGAAATCTTAGGCTTTTCTGCTGGGAATTTGAGAGTATCTCCCCTAGTTTCATTCTGTAGCCATGACGACATATCCTGACATAAAGCAATGTAGGGAAGAAAGTTTATTTTAGCTCACAACTTCATAGTACATTCCATCACTGAGAAGCCAGACAGGAATTTGAAGAAGCTAGTCACATCACACCCATAGTCTGGAGGAGAGAGGTTTGCACAGGCTTGCCACCTTCTTGGCTTGCCGTATCTGCTCTTTCAGTTTGTGCCGCAAACCCAGGGCATGGTGCCTCATACTTCCAGGCAACTTAATCAAAATCGTGCTCTACGTACATGCCCACAGCAGCCTTTTCTAGATAGTTCTCTGTGATTGACATTGTGTCAAGTTGACAATCAAGACTGTCACAGTATCATAGGAAAATGTTCAATCTTTTAATAGAAATAAGAAAAAGACATTTTCTATTTTGATCAAATTCAAGAGAAGAACTTTTGTTTCAATATGATTAATAACAATAAGCTTACAATGTATTGGTCCAAAATAATAAAATGCAGCTTTTGAAAGGTATAATAATGTCACGGATAACTGTCCTGTCCCTGAGGCTTCCCTGTAGGTTTGACTTCTAAACTCTCTGTTCCCTTGCTTGTCCTTGAAATTCTGAAGTTCTGCTCTTAAAAGTGAGGCCTGGAGGGGTGGAGAGACAGCTCAGTGGTTAATTGAGCCACACAGCTCCTCAAGAATTCTACATATTGTGGTTTCTGGTTTTAGTTTTTATGCGTTTTCTATGTGTGTGAATGTATGCGTCTCAGCATCTGTATTTGTTTCTGGTGATTTTTCTTTGGCTCCTTTTTTTTTTTTTAACCTATTCTGTTTGGTTTATCTTTATTTTTCCTTTGCCTCCTCCTCATTTTAGATGCCTATTTTCATTGTAATGAGAGAATGAAAGAACTGGTGTGGGTTTGGGTGGGTGTAAATGGGGAGGAGATGGGCGGTGTGGGGGATGGGAAGCCATAATACAAATATATTGTATGAAAAAAGTATATTTTCAGTAAAAAGCATTTCTTCTATCATTAATAAAAAAAAAAAAAAGAATTCTACCTCCAGCACCCTTCATCAAGGGCTCACTGCCAAGGGAACGTGCCAGGTGTGGCCTCTGTGAGCCCCCGCATTCATACAGAGACACACAACTACACATAATTTAAAATGTCTTTAGTTAAAATTTGTATTTTATTTTATATGTCTGAATGTCTTCCCTGCATACATACATGTGCATTACATGTGGATACCAAGAAGAAGGCCTCAAGTCTAGAACTGGAGTTACAGACAGTTGTGGGCTCCCACAGAGGTGCTGGAAACCAAACCCAGGTCTTCTGGATGAGAAACAAGTGTTCTTAACTGATAAACCACCCCTTTGGCCCTCATAAAAAATTTTTAGTTTCAGGACAGGCTCCAAAGCTGCAGAGGAGCCCTGTCTCAAAAAACAAAACAAAAAAAAATTTTTTTTAAAAGAAAGTGGAGCCAGTAGGCAAGATCATCTGGGAGTTAGTTAGAACTGCAGACATTTGTGCCCCGTTGTTGACCTCTTGATCAGATTCTGCATTGAATATGCTCCCAGGTGACAGGTTCACGCAGGATAGCCTGGGAAGCCCCAGCCTAAAACAGCTACAGTTGCAGCCTGTGAGTAGAACAGTGAGGGTCTGTTTCTCTGCAGCCAGGGAAGTAATGGCTTTTACATCCTTACATGGTTAGGAAAAACACGAAAGAAGACTTCTTGACACAGCCACATCGTATGCAGTTGCTTCAGTGTCCATAAATAAAGTTTTATTGGAACATAGCTATAGTGGCACAAATTGTGGCTGCTTTGACTCAAAATGAATAGTTGAGTAGTTGTGACAGAATCCATCTGGCCTAAAAAGCATAAAATATTTTCTTTCTGACTCTTTGTTAAAAAAAAAAAATCCCTGGCTTCTGATCTAAAGTGTACAAGTATGCTCTTGAGTTTCAGAGTGGCTTACAAATCAAGGTCCACTGATTATAATGTATACACTGCATTTTCTAATAGTTCCTCATTGTAATAAAGTTGAATTAATAAGGCTAAATCTGTATTGAATAAATTTTAAAATGTAACCTTCTTTTCTAAATGAAATACTGATGAGTTAAAGAGTTTTTTTTAACCAGGGGTGAATTTGTTAATTTATTGATAATCTCAAGGGTTTTTTTTAATATAAAGTGTAATTGAGTTGGGTGTGATATCACACACCTTTAGTCCTAACACTTGGGAGGCAGAGGCAGGTGGATCTCTGTGAAGTCAAGGCCACCCTGGTCTACACAGCAAGATCCAAGCCAGTTAGGGCTATATATATAGCAAGACCCTGTCTCAAGAAATAAAAATGTGCAATTGTATCTACTCAGTGTATCTTCTGTTTATGCCATTGGGTGGCTTGAATGAACCCTTTTCTCTCTCCACACTTTATGAAACACCAGTAACCATGGATGGTTTTGTAGGTGGAAACCTGCTAGTCTTGGTGGATCAGCACGCTGCCCACGAGCGAGTTCGTTTGGAGCAGCTCATTACTGGTAAGCCTCGGTCTGCAACTGGAGAGTCCAGACTCCTGGCACAGTTGATATGGCTAGACATGTGAGCAGGGATGTACTGTGCATTTGAAAATTAAAATTCAGGCTGAAATCATCCAGTCTGAAAACGAGTGGAAAGACTGCAGTAGTTTGCCTTGCCAACTCAAACATGTGGGTCTGACTGACTTGGTCAAAGGCACATTTCCTATGTATTTGTTCTCCACCCAGACCTACCGAGAGACTGGGCTAGTTTACTCTGACTCCAGCACAAAGGGATGCACGCCAATCGATGCCTGTGCACTCTCTTTGGGCCTTCCCCACAGTCCACCAAGTCCCATATAATACTTTTATTTTAAAATCTTGTTTATTTGGGTACAGTTAGTGTGATCAAATTGATCTAATTCTGAAAGGAACAGAAGGAAATATAACAAAGCATCCCCTACACCCTGTCTCTCATTTCATCTTGGGCAGCTAGTATCAGTGCTATCTAAATGTATCTTTCCAAAGTGCATGTGCTTTTTGATTTGTTGTTTTTGAGATAGGGTTTCTCCAGGTAGATGTTTCATGAACTGAAATGGCAATAATGTCACTGCCATTTTCTTTGCCCTTATAAAATGAAGACACCCCCACCCAATAAAAACAGCCATAAGTGTATTTTTCTAGGTGATGCTGGTGTATGCCTTTAATCCCAACACTTGACAGGCAGAAGCAGGTGGATCTTTGTGCGTTCGAGGCCAGTCTGGTCTACAGAGTTCCAGGACAGCCAGGGCTGTTACACAGAGAAACCCTGTCTTGAAAAACAAACAAATGAAGCCCCAATAGTTCGGAAAGATACAGTCAAAACAGTGATAGGAAAATTACCTACTCTGAGGAAGGATTTACAGTTTGAGCTCCCCTTGCTCACTTGGTGAGTGGAATACGGTGGGTTTCGCAGCAGCTGGAGGGAGTTGCTGACCTTGTTTGGCAGCTAGCAAATCAGGCATTCTGTTCCGTTCACTAAATAGCAAGCTGATGTTTGCTGCTGATTTTGTGGTAATTTCGCACAGACCTGTCTTCATGGTGAGCATGTGTTAAGCTGCTGGAGACCCTTTACACTGAGCTCTTAGATTTTGGAGTCACAGACAGTTGTGAGCTGCCATGTGGGTGCTGGGAATTGAACACAGGTCCTCTGGAAGAGCAGTCAGTGTTCTTAACTGCTGAGCCATCTCTCCAGCCCCGAGCTGTTGGCTTTAAGAAGGCTGGCGACCACAAGAAATGAACTGGCTGTGCAAAATTGTGAGATTTTTGCATAAAAAATTGTCAGAGGAAGAAAGGGAGATCAGAAGACCTGATCTTACCATGGCTTACCCAAGACCATAAACAATTATTAAAGTGGTTGGCCGTGGTGTAACTGTTAAGGGTTGTGGCAAAGAATCTCAGGCTAAGGATGTCATCAAAGAAAACTTGAAATGCAAGAAATGAATAAATAAAAAATTTGGCTCATTAGAAACAAACTTAGGGGTCAGTAAGATAGCTCAGCTGGCAAACACTTGCTATGCAGCCCAACAGCCCCAGTTCAGTCCCATCGCCCACATAATGTGGGAAGAGAGAAAACTGACTCCCAAAAAGTTGTCCACTGATCTCCATGTGTGTAGAGGGCCCTGGCTTGTGTGGAGCCCCCTGCCATACACCCGCATCACAGCACACGCATACACAATCGTAAATAATATGAGACTGGAGAGAGAGCTCTGAAGTTAAAAGCACTGGCTGCTCTTGCAGAGAATCCAGGTTTAAATCCCAGCACAACATGGCAGCTCACAACTATCTGTAACTTCAGTTCCACAGGTTCTAATGCTCTCTCCTGGCCTCTGGGGGACCAGGCACACACTTGGTAGACAGAAATACATGTGGGCAAAACATCCATACACATAATGGTTTTTTTTTTTGTTTGTTTTTGTTTTTGTTTTTTTGAGACAGGGTTTCTCTGTGTAACTTTGGAACCTGTCCTGGAACTCACTCTGTAGACCAAGCTGACCTTGAACTCACAGAGATCCATCTGCCTCTGCTTCCCAAATGCTGAGATTAAAGGCATGAGCTGCCACAACCTGGCCCATATAAAAAATTTTTAATGAAATAATAATTTTCTTAAATTCACACCCAAGCTTATTTCCTGTATCATTTGTGAATAATACAGGCAAATTCTTTTCAAAGACTGAGAAACCTTTCTGAAGGAACCAAGAAACCCTCTTGACTTGACTCACAGACATTATGCCACATTGTGTGGCTCTGTACTGATACCACACAAATTAACTATGGGAACACTTCCTTGTTCATTGGGATGCAGCATCGAAGAGGATCCTTATGGAGTTTGATAGCCATTTGGGCAAGAAACTGCTCTTGCCTGGTTCTTATTTTGAAAAGCCGCTAAAATGAGGAAAATGTCTGAGTATCCCTTAGTTTACTACTAGAATCCAAAGTGTAGACCCGAACACTGAGCACAGTACTTGGTCTGAGAGAACTTTTACCGCGGCCTTTCCTCCCCAGGCATCCTCTAACGGAATGTTCCGGTCTTCCCTCTTATTCTGTTCTCGTTCACCTCCCTTCCGATAGACTCCTACGAGAAGCAGCCGCCACAAAGCTCTGGTCGGAAGAAACTCCTGTCGTCCACAATAATTCCCCCACTAGCGATTACAGTATCAGAGGAGCAGAGGAGACTCTTACGGTCAGTAACACCTCGAGGGCACGATGCTGGGAGTATAAAGCTTTACAGTAAGTTTTTAGGTTTCTGCATAAATAGTCCATATTTTTCAGAAAAGGAAACTGAGACAAAAATAGTGGATGGCTCAGCCAAGGTCTTAACAGTTAGCTGAGGAGCAGGCACTCGAAGCCTGCCTTCTGACCCCTTCTGCAGCACAGCTATTGAGTACAGGATAGAATTTCCCTGATAATTTTTTCCAGCAGTTGGCTTAGAACACTCTTCTCATTTCTTGGAACAGCCAAGTGTTTATGCTGTGCTGTTTCTGAGAGCAGAGTTGGGGAGTAATTGCTTCCATTCTTGTGTCTTGGTTCATTGTAGATTCTTCATTACCATAATCTTATTAGGAAGAAGCCAAGCGCTGTGACTCAAGGGTGGGGCGTCCTGGAGCAGTCGCTAGAGAGGTCGTTTTCCCACTTCTGGGCAGTGTCACTTAGCGACAGTGAAGACTGTCAGTTCATTTCAGGTTTGGATAGGCACTGCTACCAACACAGCTTTCCCCAGAGCATAATTCCCTTATTTACTGCCACCAAGACACCCCAGGCGGGACTTCTCGGTTCTTGAGGCTGTTAATTACCTCTTTCTGTTGTGATTCAAAACATTTGCAGAGCTTTTCTTTGAGCCAAATTTCTTTAAGTGGGGGCAGTAAATTAGTTCTTTAGTGGGGAATGAAAATTTAGGAATAAGATTTGGAAGCAAATTGGTTCTCTCAATAGAAAAACAGAAGGATGGGTGTGTGCTGGATTTATTCCAGGACCTCAGAAGATGCCTGGAAATGGCAATACTGAGCCCTGTGTATATATTATTTCCCTGTAGATTACTACCATATACCACAGCTAATCTGCATGTCCTGTAACATTGCCACATTGTACCATGATCAGTCTTCCGTATTTAATGCTTTGGATCACTACTAATGTGTTCTGGGGACTCTATGAAAGAAAATAAGGGTTACTTGAGAATAACACCTGCAGTACTGGGCTGGAGAGATGGTTCAGTATCTTAAGAGCACTTGCTGCTTTTGCACAGGACCCAAGTTTGGGTCCTAGCAACCACATGAAGTCTCAGAACCGACTGTAACTTTGGTTCCAGAGGATCTGATGCCCTCTTCTGGACTCCACGGGTGCCTCGCAAGCATATGGTACACATACATGAAGGCTAATACACATGAGATACAAATATAATAGATAAATCTCTCTTTTAAAATGGGATAGTGGAGTAGGCATCTGATAGCTGCATGGTGAACGGGTGAGTGGCCTCTAGGGGGACATGCTGGACACAGGGTCCTCCAGCGGTGAACGGACGTGTGGCCTCTAGGGGGTATGCTGGACACAGGGTGCGCCAATGGGACAAGCTGAGATTTGATCATACTCTCAGAGCAGCAATTTAAATTTTACGGCTGCAGATGCATATGCTTAGCATGTACAAGGCCCCAGTGCAGTCCCCAAAATAAAGAAAAAAGTTTACTTCTGGAATTTTCCATTTATTTTTTTGGATCCTGGTCAGCCACAAGTAACTGAATTCCTAGAAAGTGTAACTGTGAATGAGAATTACTGTAATTGAAGAGGAAATTTGATAATGAAATTCTAAACACATATAAGCATAAGGAAAACAATACAACTTCCAAAGGTCATGGACGCTTTTGCAAACCATCAAGTTTTGGAACTAGCACTGAAGCGGGTGAAGTCACGCTCTTACATCTGCGCCTGTCTCTTTAGGTCTTACCACAAATATTTGGAAGATCTGGGACTGGAATTGATATTTCCAGATGCCAGTGATCCTTTGATCCTTGTGGGGAAAGTGCCACTCTGCTTTGTAGAGAGGGAGGCCAGTGAGCTCCGAAGAGGAAGGTCTCCTGTGACTAAGAGCATCGTGGAGGTGAGATGCATCGTCCAGTGCCTGGGAAGTAGCTGAGCGCCACTGATGTGTGTTCATCCTTAGTCAACACACATTTGGCTTACGTTCAGCGTGCCAGGTGCTGGAAGTTAAGATGAGTTAGTGAGTTAGCTCACGGAAAGGAGGCGGACACTCAGTTATAACACAGTACCTGTGGAGAGCGGAGGCATGTTTGGAAGTGTCACAGAGCTGTCCATGTGGTACCTGTTGGTCGTCTCAGTGCTCAGGAGGCTAAGCAGTAGGGAGTTTAAGCTCTCACAGCGAGGCTTTGTCTCAAATGGGCGGGGTGGAGAGATGGCTTACAGGTCCATGCACATGCTGCTCCGCAGAGGACCCAGCTCTGTTCCCAGCACCTATGTGTTGGCTCACAACCGTCGGTTACTCAGTTCCAGGGGCTCCGATGCCCTTTTCTGGCCTTCATGGGCATCAGGCACACATGTGATGCACTTACAGACATTTAGGCAAAACACTCAGAGGCAGCCAGATGGCTCAGCAGGTAAAGGTGCCACAGCCAGGTCTGACTTGAGTTCAGCCCTCGGGATCTACACAGTTTCCCTCAGTCTGTCCACTGACCTCCAAGTGTACACCACGGCATGTGTACGTGCACACATGAATGCATACATATGTATATACATATAAATAATGTAATAAAATAATGCCCAGAAATTTTAAGATAGAGATGGTGACTGTTAGGATACATGGGCAGGTTTGGGAAACCTAGTGAAGGCAGGTGAAAAGTTCGAATTATTGTACTATATGATTTGACTAAGTCAGTGTACTGGGAATAGAAAGGAAGGACAGATCTGACACCTCGATGAGAGGGAAACTCCAGATTTGATGTGAACGGCACACAGAGTAATAAAGGAGAAAGACACATCACCGTGCTGCTAGAGCTTTAGCTGGATGAGGACAGTGCTGCTGAGGAGGAGGAAGGCAGGGCAGCACACCTGCCGGGGTGATGTGACCTCAGCGCCAACGGTGCCTTCAAGTGCCAGGGGCCTGGCTGACTGCCACTCTTGTATCTAGAAAAGAAATCTGGATTGTGCATATCTGGTGGCCATAACAGCCCGCACAATTGGTGACTTGGGCCAGGAGACAGTGAGACTGTTGGAAGATAAGGGGGAGTGGAGGAGCAAAGACAGAGCCATAGGACAGGGGGTGACACTGAGGGAGCTGGGAGATGATTGGGGACACTGAGGAAGGAAGAACCGGCAAAGGGACATTGTTTCAACTAAGTGAAGCTGTAGGCGAGAGGAAATAGTTAGCAGTGGCCAGAAAGTAAGACTTGAGCAGCTGGGGTAGGTGATGCCCTGGTTGATGTTCTGAGTCATCCATTGGGATGGAATCTGACAGATGGCTGAGCGAATCAGGAGTGAAGCCTGCTGACTCTTCCTAGAACGCTGGCCAAGCTGCTGTCATAGACCTGTAATTCCAGCACTTGGAAGGCTGAGGCAGGGGGGTTTCAAGCTTGAAGCTAGCCTGAATTACATAATTCTAGACCAACTAGCCTGGATTACATTCTGTTCTCTCTCTCTCTCTCTCTCTCTCTCTCTCTCTCTCTCTTTCTCTCTCTCTCTCTCTGTGTGTGTGTGTGTGTGTGTGTGTGTGTGTGTGTGTGTGTGTGTCTCAAACAAACAAAAGCCCTAGGTTTCTGTCTGTGCACTGAGGAGAAGAAGCCAAAGCCTCTGTTGCACACAGAGACGGCTGGTGACTGAAGGTTAGAAGTGGCCGAGTTTGCATGTGCAGGACATTTTGTTCTAAGACGGAAGGAGGACACTGAAGAGCAGGCGGTGGCGCTCCCAGGCTCAGCCTTTGTTATCTTCCTTTCCCCTTTCCAAGTTGCCTGTTGGTGACAGCCTCAGCTCTGCCCCAGCGGAGCTCTTTTCTGCTCACACAGCTCATTTCTTCTCAGACTCCTGCTCCAGATTTGGACTCAAATTGTGTCAACTCCAAAAGACAGGATCCGCAAGGCTCTTACTGTAATTCAATACCTAAAGTTTTAACCAGAAAATTACAATAAAAACTCCTGAAGTGGCTTCAAAGATACTCTTAAAGAGTTTACTTCAAATTAAAACAAAGCTTATGGTTTCAGAAAATCTGATTATATTTAGTCAGGCTGATAGGAGGATTTGTTGATTTTGGAAGAGTTGGAGCAGTTCAGTGTTGAGGAGGTAACTTTGAGAATCCTAGCAGTCATGATACTTTTTTTATTTTTTCTGAGACAGGGTTTCCCTGTGTAACCCTGACTGTCCTGGAACTCTCTGTAGACCAGACTGGCCTTGAGTTCAGAGATTTACCTGCCTCTGCCTCCTGAGTGCTAGGCTTAAAGGCATGCACCACCTTGGTCCAGCTCATTGATACGTTCTTAACGGTTTGTGTTCCAGTTTGATGTCTGAGCCATTTTCTTTCTCTCTTTCTCTCTTTCTCTCTTTCTCTCTTTCTCTCTTTCTCTCTTTCTCTCTTTCTCTCTTTCTCTCTTTCTCTCTTTCTCTCTTTCTTTTCCTTTTCATTTTTTTTTTTGAGCCAGGATCTCATTCTGTAGCACTGGCCTTGAACTCACAGACCTGCTGGGATTAAAGGCATATACCACTGTGCTTGGCATGACTGAGCCTTTTTAACATTATTTAGATTGTCTACATTAACTGAAATATGAAATCAACTGAAAATGAGACCCTTCTTCCCCTCTTCAGGCTTATAAACATGTTTTACAGTCCTGCTCGCACACTCACCAGAGAAAATAGCAGAAGTTAGTGTTGGCTTCCATTCCTCTCAGCTTTACAGCAATAGTGTTGTTAAAAGATCATTAAATGTACCATACCTTGAGAGAGTTTTTGCCTCCAGAGGCTAAACAAATTGCACATTTAAATAGTATCAGCTTTAATTAAAATTTTTTATTTTATTTCGTGTGTGTGTGTGTGAGTGTGAATGTCTGTGTAGGTCAGGACTGTTCTCTTGTTCTACCGTAGGAATCCCAGGCTATCCCTGCTAAGCCATCTCATGGGCCCTGGAGTTTAATTTAATTTGTAAATAAAGGGATGTAGGCAGACCGAGGCAGGAAGAGCATAAGCTCAAGACCAGACTGGGCTTCATAGCAAGACTGTCTTGAAGGAGGAAAAAAGTCTCCACAAGGACAAAGATCTACAAGGGAGGAGAAACGTCTCAGGTGTGCTTGGGACATCATCTTGAAGTGGCCTGCAGACTTACATGGAGGAAAACACACACATAACATTTAAGTAAAACTAAATTTAAAAATGAACTTACAAAGTAGCAGGCTTTCTTGTGACATTTTCATGGATACTGTCTTTTGGCTGATTGGCTTCCCCTCTCCCCGCCCTTCCCTTCCCATGCTGTCCTTGCACCGGGGTACCCCTTACACCTTAATATCTGCTGTGTTCCGCACCCCTTACACCTTAATATCTGCTGTGTTCCGCACCCTTACACCTTAATATCTGCTGTGTTCCGCTGCCCTTTCCCTTGCCCTCAGAGCTGCTCTGTCTCGTCTCAGGAGCCCTTTCTGGCTCCTAGCCTCTATGCACATCTGTTCACCTAGGAAGACATTAACAATTAGAAGCTGAGATCTGCATATGGGCGGGACACCTCACTTAGTATATTCCCATGTTTTGATTATCTGTTCATCTGTTGATGGATGTCTAGGCTGGTTCTGGTTTTTTTTTTTTTTCTGTTGTGAGAGCAGCAGTGGGCATGGATGTGCCCTCCCTTTGTGATAGGCTATGGAGAGCTTTGATGCATGCCCACGAGTGGGATAGCTGGGTCACACGGTAGTTCTGCGCTAGCTTTGGGAGCCGGCTTCACACTGATTTTCACAGTGGCTGCTGTAGTTCACATTCCATTCAGTTGATGAGGTTTCTTCTTACCCTGCATCCTTGCCAAGATTTATTCTCTCTCTCTCTCTCTCTCTCTCTCTCTCTCTCTCTCTCTCTCTCTCTTTCTTTTCTCTGTCTCTCTCTTTTTTTCTTTCATTTTTTTTCAAGGTAAGGTTTCTCTGTACAGCCTTTGCTGTCCTGGAACTTGTTCTGCAGACCAGGCTGCCCTTGAACTTTGAGATTCACCTGCCTCTGCCTTGAGTGCTGGGCTTAATAGTGTAGGCCACCACTACCTGGCTTCATTTTTTAAAACTATTTTTTATTTTATTTTATGTGCATTGGTGTTTTGTATGTATTCACATCAATGTGAGAGTGTTGGATCCCTTGGAATTGGAGTTACAGACAGTTGTGAGCTGCCATGTGGGTGCTGGGAACTGAACCAGGTCCTCTGGCAGAGCAGCCAGTGCTCTTAACTGCCAAGCCATCTCTCCAGCCTCCATGATAGTTATTCTGACTAGAGTAAGGTGGAATCTCAAAGAAGGCTTAATTTTCATTTTCTGATGGCTAGGGATGTTGACCTTTTAAAAGATATTTATTGACCATTTATATTTCTTTTGAGAATTGTCTGTTCAATTCATTAGCCCATCTATTATTGCCTGGCAGTTTTGTGTGTGTGTGTGTGTGTGTGTGTGTTTAATCTGCTGCTCTTTGTATATCTAAATGTTAACTCTTCTATTAAGGGCAAAGGTTTTCCCTCACGCTGTAGGCTCTCTGTTCCCTTTGTTGTGCAGAGACTTCCATGTCATCACATTTTTCAATGTTTGGAACCATTTCTGTGTCGTTGAGGATGGTTTTAAATCCTCAATGAAGAGGACAATAGATTCATGCCTGTTTTCCTTTTGGTTTTATAGGAATTTATTCGAGAACAAGTGGAGGTAAGCTTTTCTCTTACTGGAGGGTGTCACGCTGAAGTGCTCCATGCAAAAGACTTCATTACCTCATTCCCCTTTTGTTAATAATGTAGCTGATTCAGACCACAGGAGGCATCCAGGGGACGCTGCCGCTGACTGTCCAGAAGGTGTTGGCCTCCCAGGCCTGCCATGGTAAGAGCCTGCACATCTCTAGGATCTCGGGTGCGCTGAACACTGCAGAGGTACAGTTACTGTAGAGGAGGCAAAATATACATTTCTGCTCGCCTTTTACAGAGTGTACTTTAGGTCAAGAACCTGAATCTACTTTTAAAATTGCTTTTTAAAAGTAAAACACCAGCACGGGTGCAGACTGACTGACAAAGCAGAGGAGTGGGCCCTAGAGGACCCTGACTCAGAGTCACCCCAGAGTGAGCCTGGGGCTCATCACAGCGTGAGGAAGCAGCCTTGGCAGAGCCACAAAGGCCAGGAGTAAATTCCTCTCATGAAGAGCAGCCAAGAGTACCAAGAAATTAGGCTGGAAATAAAGACCAGACGCTTAGAAGGTTCCAGAGAAACATTTAGAGCTGGTCCAGGATACATTAGATCTGGTGGGGTCTTGAGTAGGGGATCTGATGGGTAGAGGACCTCATCCAGGGGAGTGGCAGCTTTGGAACCCCGTAACTGTCCTTGACCTACTGCCCCCCATTCTATTTCTGTCCTTCCTGTCTTCTCACCTGTGCCTCTCCCAGATCAGTCTGCCCCTGCAGAGATCTCGGTGTCCATTGCCCCTCATCCTGCTCTTCTGCCTTCCACCGCCAGATTGCACCGTGGCACCTGTCCCGAAGCTGTCTGCACTCTTCCTGCCTCCGCTGAAGCCTCCATGTAGTCCTCACTCCCTTCTGGCTCCTGCTCAATGATTGTTCTCTCGGCACCCACAGGGGTCCTATTATTGTCTGGTTTCAGGCAGGGTCTTGCTTTGTACTCCAGGCTGTCCTAGAACTTATGTAGAGTAAGCCAGTCTCTAACTTGTAGCAATTCTCCTGCCTCAGCCTCCCAATGCTGGAATTACAGATATGTGCCACCACTCCCAGCCAGGCAAATCTTTCAAACATGCCTTTAAGCATGTCAATTCTGCCAGGCGGTAGTGGGGGAGGCAGAGGCAGGCAGAGGTCTGTGAGTTCGAGGCCAGTGAGTTCCAGGACTGGCTCCATAGCTACTGAGAAACACTGTCTTGAAAAAACAAAACAAAAGAAAGAAAGAAAAAGAGAAAAGAAAATCAAAGAAAAAAAGTCAATTCTTCTATCCGAAATATGCATTGACATTTACTAATATTCTTAGTATGAAACTATTTTATTTATGTATATATGTATGTGTTTATTTTTAACTTTTTGAGTCAGGGTTTCTCTGTATAACAGCTCCAACTGTCTTGGAACTCACACTGTAGGCAAGGCTGGCCTCGAACTCACAGAGATCCGCCTGTGTCTGCCTCCTGAGTGCTAAAATTAAGGCATGCGCCACCACTGCTCTGCTATGTGTTCATTTGCCTTTCTTTTTCTTTTTGTCTATTTGTTTGAGATAAGTTTCTTTTTTTTAAAAAAAAAATATTTATTTATTTATTATGTATACAATATTCGGTTTGTGTGTATGTCTGCAGGCCAGAAGAGGGCACCAGACCTCATTACAGATGGTTGTGAGCCACCATGTGGTTGCCGGGAATTGAACTCAGGACCTTTGGAAGAGCAGGCACTGCTCTTAACCTCTGAGCCATCTCTCCAGCCCCTGAGATAAGTTTCTTATAGCTCAGGGTGCTCTCTTAATATGTAGCTGATGATAATCTTAAATTCTGGATCCTCCTGTCTCTCTCTCCAGAGCGTTGGGATCACTGGCCTCTCCTACCATACTTGGCAAAAGCCATAACCTACAGCTTACAAGGGTCTCGGTGCTTTGGCCCCTGCCTGCAGCTCGTTTCAGCAAGTGTCACACCCCACTGTGCTCTTCACGTTTCCAGCCTCTTCTTTGCCGTGTCCCTCCTGTGTCCCGACACCCTGCATTGTCCTTTCCTGAATCTGAAAAACCTTTCTGCTCCTTCTCCTGTAGATCCTGTCTTCTCAACTGAATCGTCTTAGCGAGAGAGCACTCCCTGGTCTAACCCGGGCCGGCCCCGTGTTACACATTTCCTACCTGTGTTTCATGGCACTGATATCTAAATGACTTTGTAATGACTTGTCTCATGCTGTTGTACCTGCTGGAGCCCAAGAGCCGTGGGGAGAGGCAGCTCTTTACTCACTGTCTGAAAGGCTCTTGCTGCAAAGCAGACATTTAATTAACATTTATTGACTGAGTGAATTGATCTTAGACCAAAGATAAGTTCTAACATATAAAGATTTAGATTATGGAAATTAAGAAAGAGGAAAAATGAGCCTGGCGGTGGTGGTGCACACCTTTAATCCCAGCACTCGGGAGGCAGAGGCAGGCGGATCTGGATCTCTGTGAATTTGAGGCCAGCCTGGTCTACAAGAGCTAGTTCCAGAACAGGCTCCAAAGTTACAGAGAAACCCTGTCTTGAAAAACCAAGAAAAAGGGGCTGGAGAGATGGCTCAGTGGGTTAAGAGCACTGGCAGTTCTTCCAGAGAACCTGGGTTCAATTCCCAGCACCCACATGGCAGCTCACAACTGTCTGTAACTCCAGGTCCAGGGGGATAATGATACTTCATATCAATGCACATAAAATAAAGTTAAATAAATTATTTTTAAAAAAGGAGGGATGAAACGGACACTATGAGAGTTTGCTTTTGAGCCGCTGTGCACAGAAGGAGAGTGGACCTTCATAAACTCACCCTGGCCGAAAGCAAGATCTTACCAGGTTTAGGAATGTCTCCTGTGACATCAGAGGGACGGACTCCATATGGAAGCTGAGGCAGGAGGGCAGTCCTAAAGCCTGAGTCTATTCCATGACCTCAGGTGCCAGTCTAAGAAATGGGTTCTGGCCCAAGGTTGACCTTGGTTCTCACCATCACACTATGACTCTTCAGTGTCTCTTTTATTTAGGGGCCATTAAGTTTAATGATTGCCTGAGCCTAGAGGAGAGCTATCGCCTTATTGAAGCTCTGTCCTTGTGCCAGCTGCCATTCCAGTGTGCTCATGGGAGGCCGTCAATGCTGCCCTTAGCTGACCTGGACCACTTGGAGCAGGAGAAGACGGTACTGTGATGACCCTGGCCTACTTTGCTTTCTGTTGCTGTGCTAAAATCAATCAAAACATACTTGGTGGAGGAGAGGATTTATTTGGCTTATACATCCTAATTATAGTTCAGGAACTGAAGCAAGGCAGGCACCTGGAGGCCAGAGCTGCTGCGGAGGCCACGGAGGGCACTGCTTACTGGCCTGCTCTCTCACAGCACCCAAGGCCGGCTGCCCACCACGGGCTGGACCCGCCCACATCAGTCACTAATCAGGAAAATGACCTACAGACGTGCCTGCAGGCCAATCGATGGAGGCGTTTTCTCAGAGTTCTCCGGTGACACAAGCTAGTGTACCAACAAGACCTATAGAACCGGGGAGGAGCAAAGTTTATCCTTTCTTTCTTTTCCAGTTTCTACTATTATAATCCTTCGTTATCCTCCCTAAAACAGGAGCACTGTAAAAACATGAACTGGGAGTTTTATTTGCAGCCACACACTTGGTCTTTCAGTTCACATTTGAAATGGAGCTTAGAGTAAAGTGCCAGATGATCTCCCTGGTGGCCCCCTGGTTTTTAAACCCCACATTGCACATAGATCCTGAATATCATATATCCTGAACAGCAGTTGCCTGCCAGGTCCAGGTTTGATTATTCCTAGAGGTAGAAATGCTTTGAACTCAGAACTGTCAAGACGTAGCCAAGACATCCAGTCCCCTGTAAGTGTGGCTGGGATGGAGCCTGGCAGTTGGAGCTAGCTGCCTCAAAGGATCTCTTGTATTACATCATGAGACAGGGAGCCAGACTTTGGCCATCTCTACTGTGCCGTGGCTGATTTGTGGTGTGAGCCACACATGGACAATGGTGTGGATGGTCCAGTAGATGCACGGGTCCTTCAGTTAAGTTAACTTTCTAGTCTTGTTTTAATCTGTTTTTTTTTTTCCTTTACATGGTGGGTGTTTTCTTGCATGTATGCTTATGCACCGTGTGTGTACAGTGCCCATGGAGGCCAGAAGAGGGTGTCAGATCTGCTGGAACTGGAGTTACAGATAACTGTGAACCACCACATGGCTGTTGGTAATTAAACCCATGTGCTCTGGCAGAGCAGTCAATATTCTTAGCCCAGTCTCTCCAGCCTCCTGCTACGATTTTAAATGAGACAGACGTGAGTGTGTGTACACGGGCCACTGTGTGCTACTTCCTGGGGCTCTCTTCTCTTTCTTGCCGATGCTGTGAAGGCTTCTCCTGCATGGAGATTTCATGTACTGTTCCCTGACTGTCCACTAAAACTCTTTATTTTATGGGGCTGGAGAGATGGCTCAGTGGTTAAGAGCACTGGCTGCTCTTCCAGAGGGCCCGGGTTTGACTCCTGGCACCCACATGGCAGCTCACAACTGTCAACAACTTCAGTTTCAAGAGACCTGGCACTTTCTGGATTCTTCAGACACAAGGCATGCACATACGTGTTGCACAGGCAAAACAGGCCCGCTACCCCTCCACAAAATCCCACCTCTTTGAGAAATTTCTATCCCCATTACTAGGAGATAAAAATCCAGACTTAGAGTTTCATTCTGAGGGACACTACCGTCTTTTCTGAGTTCAGAAAGGAGAAATCTAAACACATTTGGGGAGCCATACTTTGAAGTACTTAGAAAAAAAATAATAAAACTTAATACAGCTTTTCCTATTGTTAATTATAGTTATTCTCTTTCTTCTCATAGGTAAAACCCAATATTGCTAAACTTCGCAAACTGGCCCGTGCCTGGCATCTCTTTGGAAAAGCGGAAGGCTGTGATACAAGGCAGAGCCTGCAGCAGTCCGCGCCTCCTGAGAACCACCACGGAAACAGAGTTAGGGATCTGTGAGGAGTTACGGGAAAGCTGTGAGCAGAGAGCATGCGCAGCACAGAACAACGCAGTGGTGCCGGGTCAGCCTGACATGCGCAGGTCGGGTACATCAGTCTCCTGGAGCAGATGCACTCAAGCTGACGGATCCATGGACACAGGAGTTTGCCTTATAACACCTGTGTTTTGTCAGCTGATTTAGTAATAAAGTGGTAATGATTTTGTATTTGGTACTGACTTACGTTTGAGGGTGTGGCTATTGTTTTGAGCAGTTTCCCCAGCCTCTCCGTTTCCGTTGTGTGAGGATGCTGAACACTAAGGGCCGGTTTGCTTCCCTTGAAGCCCTGGCTCAGCCTCCTCCCGCTCACCCTCCCTACTGGTCCCCTGAGCTTCACTCCCTGCCTCTTCCCATTCTGTGCTGGGTTTATGGTGCTTCTCTGCTCTATAAAAATATCACCTGATGTCTCCCAGCAAGACTTCAGTTAAATTGTTAATAGCTGGGTGTGGTGACATATACCCGCAATTCCAGAGCTTGGAAGGCTGCAGCAGAGGCTAGCAAGGTCAGTACTAGTCTAGGCTGTGTAGCAAGACTCTATCTCAAAATGAATAAATCAACTATGGGCAAAGAGAAACACAAAGGTAGAACGGAGAACGTTTGAAACCTTTTCTCTTTTCTAATTCTCTGCTCAGCCCTCTGTTCTGGAACTAGACCTGTAGACCAGGCTGGCCTCCAGTTCAGAAATCTGTGGCCTCTGCCTCCCGAGTGCTGGGATCAAAGGTGTGCACCACCACCACCTGACAAGAAAAGCTGCAATTTTTTCCCTGTTTTTTTTTTTTTAGATTTATTTATTTATTAAGCATACAATGTACTGCTGGCAAGGAAGGCACCAGGTATTATGACAGATGGTTGTGAGCCATCAGGTGGTTGCTGGGAATTGAACTCGGGACCTCTGGAAGAGCAGCCAGTGCTCTTACCCTCTGAGCCATCTCTCCAGCCCCCCCCTGTTTTTTTTTTTTTTTGATAGTCTTACCAGCTTTTAAAGCCAGAAGTGAATGTTCATATCCTGAACCAGTAAAATGTTAAAAAAAATTACTGATTTTGAAAATGAATTTTGTACTTTATAATAATGTTTCTCTGAAAGTAACTATTATATTAAAATATAGCACGTATTTCATCCTCACTGAGTATGCTCCACACCATTTTTTTGCAGAAGACGGGTTCTTTGGTCCTTTTCCCACTGTGTGCTGGTCTTATTACATTATGCCTAATAGCCTTATTAGACTTTCACATGGGACCAGGACTGATTTTTCTGAAAATGCTCGTTATCCTTCTTTTGATTTGTGTTTTCCCTGCTCTTCAATTTATTTGTGGTTAATAAGACTCAGCTGACGAAATGATGGTGGGGGGTGTTTGTACACAAAACCCAGCTGGTACGGTTTACTGCGAGTGTCTGACTCGATGCTGTGTGATTAACAAGATCTCGAGGAGGATCTCCATGGCAGCACTTCCTGAGCATCCTGCTCACACTGGCCTTTCTATCGATGAAATAGTTCTCTATTTGTTAATGTAGGACACAAATGTGTACTCACGGGAGAAAGTGTTTGCCAGCAGTCTTGGAGTGACTCTCAGGGATGAAAGTAATGCCTTCATGAGCGTGGGCCTCAGGGCAGGTTCAAGGGGAGCCAGCACTCACTTTCCTGCCGATCCTAATAGCTTCATCATTGGACCCATGGAGAACGGCAATACCGTCTAAGACAGCCTTCCTCCCCAGAGCCCTACCAGTGGGTGTTTCATATGTGTGGAGTTCTTGCCTATGTTGAGTGGGGAAGTGTGGCTTTGGGCCTCTGTGGCACTGAGTATTCTGCAGGGGAGGCGAAGGGTGGGGGACAGAAACCCCTATAGCTCGTGCTATCCTTGACTCAGACGTAGCTGAGAACGACCTTTGAACTCCCACCTTTGTCTTTACCTCTCAAGGCATGAATCACCATGTCTTCTCTTCCAAGAATTTGAAAAACTCCTTTGATGTTAGCCCTTTTATGTCCATGGGATTTCAGAAGTGATGGTGCTTATTAACGGAATGGTGGGGCAGCTTCCCGAAGGTTACTTCTGTGTGCCTGCCAACTTCTCTTTTCCCGAGAGTAGCAGAGAATCAGAAAAGGTTTTCCATGAATTATGTCTTCCTGACTAGCCTGATTCAGGTAAGGAGATAATTCTCTTCTGTTAGTAATTTATAAATGATTTGCATCCATCAGCATAAAAATACTTATTAGCCAAAAAATCTGGTAGATTACTTTTATTGCCTATTAAGGTTTTATTTTGTCCCTTTAAACTCAAGGACCGTAAGAACAAAGCTACGCTTAATTTTCTAATATATGTGAATGCTTTTTGAAACATCTGTGTGTTTCTGTGTGTGTACACACATGGGCTGTGGTGTGTGTGTGGAGGCCAGAGGGTGGCTTGGGGGAGCTGGTTCTCTCCTCCCGCCGGTCCAGGCTTGGAAACGAGTCCTTCCCGACTTCCATCTCACCGGTCCCGTGATAGTCGCTCCTGACACTAAGATGGGGCTGCTTTTGTTCTCACAGTCACTGTGTCATCTCCCAGCCCAGCAGCAGAGCTGACACTCAGCGATCTGTATCGCCCTCAGCTGCCTTAACCCTCTCCCACATTAACGCTCGATCTCCTGAAGTTAGAGGCAGCCATCGTACCTGTATTTCCCAGGAAATGCTGATGGACATTGCTTAGAACGTTCATCCAGAATGGTTCTATTTCACATCTCAAAACTTTTGCTCTGAAGTTTCCAACACCTTCACCAACAAAATATCAGAAAGGTGAACCACCAAGTGGACAAACTAAGCAATAAGAACATATGGGCTGGAGATGGCTCAGCAGTCAAGAGCCAGGCTGCTCTTCGAGAGGACCGGGTTCAATCTCCAGCACCCACACGGCAGCTCTCACCCGTCTGTAACTGCGGTTCCAAGGGATCTGCCACCTTCACACAGACACACATGCAGGCAAAACACCAATGTACATAAGGTAAGAATAAATTTTTAAAAATTTAAAAAAATATATACATAGGGCTGGAGAGATGCTCAGCAGTGAAGAATGCTTACTACTCGCTGGCAGTGGTGGCACAGGCCTTTAATCCCAGCACTTGGGAGGCAGAGGCAGGCGGATCTCTAGGAGTTCAAGGCCAGCCTGGTCTACAGAGCTAGTTCCAGGAACCAAAGCTACAGAGAAACCCTGTCTCGAAAACCAAAAAAAAAAAAAAAAAAAAAAAAAGAATGCTTGCAGAGGACACAGGTTCTGTTCCCAGCTCCCACATAGTAATTCACAACCACCCATAACTTCAGTCCCATGGATAGTATGCCCTCTTGTGGCCTCCTCAGTCACCTACACACATATGGTGCACATAAACTCATACAAGCACACACATATGTACACAAAAAATATTGTCTTTAAAAATATGTTACATGGGGCAGACCATTATAAGCCTTGAAATACTGGGTATAGTGGTGCACACCTTTAATCCTGGCACTCCAAAGGCAGAGGTAGGAGGATCTCTGAGTTAGAGGGCAACCTGGTCTACATAGCAAGTTCTAGGACGGCTAGGGCTACATAGTGAAACCGTCTTGGAACAAAAAAAAGAAAAATAGATTTATTATGTGTATAAGTGTTTTGGTCTGTATGTGTTTGTGTACCACATACATGCCTAGTGCCCTCAGAGGTCAGTGCTTGCCTGGTGGCTGCAGTCAAAAGAAGGCATCAGATTTCTTGGGACTGGAGTTACAGACTGTTGTGAGCCACCATATGGTGCGCTGAATCAAACCCAGGTCCTCTGCAAGAGCAAGTGCTCCTAACTGCTGAGCCATCTCTTCAGTCTTTGGTTTGCATTTTTGTTGAGACAAGGTCTCTCTATGCATTCCTGGCTATCCTGAAGCTCACCATAGACCAGGTTAGCCTCAAACTCACGGAGATCCTCCTGTCTTTGTGTCCTGAGAGCTGAGCTTGAAAGCCTGAGTTACCACGCCTGGCCTAGTTTGCAGTTCTGAGCTAAGGCTTAATTCTATATGGGGCTCAGACCGCCTCAAACTTGAAATCCTCCTGCCTCTGCCTCTGCCTCTTGAGTGTTATTTAGGGTTACCAGAGTGAGCCACTGTGACTTGCTTAGTTCTCTTAACTCAACTGTGTTCTCTTTCCTTAACCTGCAGACTTCTGTGTTAGGAATTTTAGGGATCTGGTCAGGTATCCCCACAACCTTAGCTTCTTTTCTAGGCGGGTCTTACTTCTAAATGTGTGCACACGTGCACACACAAAAACAACTTGACAGCAAGTGCCAATACCCAGCTGAGCCACCAAGGCCACCGTGCGTGAGTGTCTGAGAGGTCATGGCTAAGCAGGTCTGATGGGAGAAGTTGTGCTTGTGGGAAGTTGGCAGAGCCATAGAGCTCAGCAATAGAGCCGTTTGAAAGGCAGCCTTGGAAATCCAAAGACCAATGCGAGTTTTTGTTTTTTACATAGTTTTCAGGCATATCTGAAATTTATGGTCCTACAAGTACTAGCAGTTCTTTGGGGATCACTTTACACTGAAGTTTTTCTTGGTGAGAGTATATTTTCAGACTTCTGAGGTTGAGAGTTTCTGTTCCTTCTTCAGATTCCAAGAATTATGCCTTTCCTGCCCTCTGCCCAATTTGGAAGACAGAAGCCGTGGGAACAAGTGTCTCTACAAACTCCATTCTTATCTGGCGGTTTATTTGATGTATTCAGGAAATCATCTGCATCTGCAGGATCTCCTTTCTAGAATTCTCTCCAAGCTACAAGTTTTTTTCTGGGTTCTGCCTGCAGGGTAGGGCTGCGAGGTAGGCACGGCCAGGCTGGGTAGCGAGTCCTGGCACTCCTGTCGGCCAGTGCAGCACCTCGGCCCAGGGTTTGCCTCGCCTCGAATAGGAAAAGGAAGAGAAGGGAATTGGAAATAGGATTGGTGGAGTTGACTTGAGGTCGTAGAGCCTAAAGCGCATCCTGCAGTTCTCTTCTGCGCTCAAAGGCAGCTCTGTCCCACCCACGTCCCTCTCTCCTGCCTGGAAGGACCCTGGTGCTAATTTTAGACCGAGACTGGGATGCACAAAAAGTGTCACCAAGCCCTGGGAGCCAAAACCAGATTTAAAGTACTTCACTCGCTGCTGTCCTCATTCCAAACCACACAATTGGACCCAAGTGAATTGCTATTAGAACTGATGCT